TTATCTTTCCTTAGAAATTAATATGTTAACCTTGGAAAAGTGCCTCTTTAGTGAAATCCTTCATACAAAATGTATACTTCAGTTCTCATAGCATATAATTTTACAATTTCATACATTTAAAACGTAGGCCAGGTCTATTCTAGCTTTTGCTATTATAGCAATTTGAGGGAAGACTGTTGACTTTTAATGACACTTTTACATTACTGCAGGTTCTAGTCCAGGTTATGCCCTCTAACCATAAAGTTGTTATTCCCAGGACAGCTTATTTCATTTTGTAAGCTGTAAGTCAGTCTTCAGTATATTTACTGTTCTGTGCCAACAGTTGGCAAATACAGTGTTCAGGCCCGGTCAGACTGGGACTGGAGCAACCTGGTGTATTGGAAGGTGTCCCTGACCATGGCAGCAGGGTTGGAAACAGATGATCTTTAATGCCTCTTGAAACCCAAACTATTCTATGATTGTATGAAATTTGAGAGTATAGCTCTCAAACACCCTTCTATGGAGGCCTGGTTATACTGTGCATCTAGAATATTGCAATGGCCTTTATTTCTCTCACCTCTGACTGAGTACAGGACTACAGAACTACTTTAGTATATCAACATTTTCACCATGCTGGGAAAATTGCAATTTTTTTTTTCATAAAATGTCATTGCCTGAAGTCAAACCACGACACAGAAAAATAAATTCATTAGAAGTATGTTTGTTTCTAGTTCACAAGCATTCAGACATGCAAAAACAAAAACACAGGAGTTCAGAAACTGTTATACTTATTTAAATGTCATGAGTTTAAAAAAACTGTGGAGGGATTTTCCAATCTGGAGTACTACACACCTACAGCTTTAACACTGGGAAAGTACTGTACTGCCCCAGCTTGGAAAACATGGACAGACAACTGAAACTGTAAATAGTACCTTACTTAGTAATTAGCTTTTTTGAAATGGTTCACTGGATTTCATTAGTTTGCCTTAAAATTTAGCAGCACATCTTGTACCACTAGTTGGTAGTAAAACCTATAATTCAATTTCTTCTGTGGCCTTGTGTTAACCTTACTCCCTCTGTCACTATATTTTATCTGTAGGTATAAAATAAGCATAACTTTTAATGTTGCATATTTTAAGGTATGACACTATAACTGTTTTTCTTCCTAGAAATTAGTGATACCAGATAAAATTAATGATAGAAAGAGTTAAAGGCTAACCATACTGCACTCTCTGTATTACACTGCAGATTCCATTTGGGAAACATCCACCTTTCCTTTGCAGGGATAGCAGAGAAGGCACTGGGTTTCAGTGCTAGGGCACACCCCAAAACTGAGAAGTTTCGTGTGTAGTAACTCTGGAGTAATGCCACAGATTTGTAGAGGAAGACTGTAATAGGTCATTTTATTATTTACAAAATACAACAATTTTAAAATATTTTGAAATATCAGTACTTCTGCAAATCCAGACAATAGAAGTAGTGCAAGAGTTTTATCAGTGCATGTGGTGCCTTTCTTCCAGAAGCAGATGAAAGTGCAGATGAAAAATATTGTGCCACTTACATAGACAAAGAAACAAAATTACACAGAGATTAAACAGCTTCAATAGACTGAAAAAGGTTGTAAAGTTAGGCATATGATATAACACTGAATTTCTTTATTAATGAAAATTTTCCTATATTCTTCAACACCTATTCCATATACTCTTCATAAACTACTTGTCTTCCTGAGGTTTGTTATGTCTTTTGTACTTTTACATAGAGCTAGTTTTGTACAGAATGAGAGTAATGCAGAAGTGTTAGAAGACTGATAGGCAATGATAAACACACCATGTAAACTTGAAACAGATGATGAACAGACTTTTGCAGTACAAAGTTAGCTGTGGTTGTATGTAGTGCTGCTGAACACTGAAAGACGTGCAGGGAACAATAATGCTGAAAACTAAAGTAGAAAGGAAAGTTGGCTTTTGTATTAGACTTCAAAAATGAGGGACAGTTTTCATTAGTATCAGTACAGACAAAAGTTGCCTGCATATAGAATCCCATTTACATTCCTGTAAAGTGTGCATCAGTTTCTTTTCAAAACTGAAAATAAACTCGAGATTCAAAGTTCTTAATACTATGCAGAAGACCTCAAAAAAACCCTCCCAAAAAAACCTCCAAGCCCCCCCCCCCGGATAATCCTTATAACAAAGTTAGAACAAAATCAGGATAAGTATGCAAAATACCGAGCTTGTGCAAAGTCTTTCCAGATCCTGATTCGGTTTGATTTGTTTGGGTTTGAGTCCCGTCCCCGGGTCTAACTGAGATCACGCAAAAAGCTGTCGCCTTATGTCATGTACTTGTAGGCTGTAGGTCACTGCTGACGCGACCGGCGATCTTCATTTTTTGTCACAGAATTATCCTACAGCCACCAGAGGCCACTGCTGTTCTTTGCCTTTTCCCTTCATGTAACTGGGCTGTAGGGAAAAGTCAGCTCACAGGAGCCCCAGGCAATGGTCACACCAGCTTCAGTGCTCCTTTACATATTTATAGGCCAATGCTGCATTTCTGCAGAGAAAATTAAAAACAGTACACTTTTTAGAGGTGGATAGAATGCAAAATTATCTAAATATTGCTCACCCAACCTTAGCCTTCAGGAAGAAATGAAACTTTGCATTCCAAAAATCTGATTTCATTCTTTGATATGATTAAATTTGTTAGCTTAAGGCAAGTGTTTAGATATAATTTAATTAGTTATCTGAAAGGCTCTAACTCATTTGCAACAGAACAAGATATATGAATTGACAAAGTGATAATAACATTCAAAGATGACAACATTACTAAGTAATGCTTTGTTACCAGAGATTACAGATATCAATACCAAGCCTGCCCTATTTTTTTGATCAGGGGTCTGAAGTACCTGATTCATACAATTTTCAGAGACTGCAGAAAGTGACATTAAAGTAATAAACGTAATAAATGAGGACAGGATCATCCAGCTTGGTTAACTAAGACTACATCATATGAAATGTGTTTTAATACAGGCTATTGAAACACTACATAGTTCGTAATTAAAAAACTGGTCGTGTGCTGGTGTATGGGATGGGGAGAAAAAAAGGGATATCCTGAAAGCAACTTAAGCATTTTAACAGTTTAGCAACTAAGCAGCAGCAGCCTGCTTCAGTGGAAATGGGTTTTGGATCAATCCTCGGGTGTTAGACTTGAGTAGCCAAAAAAAACCCAGAAACGGTAGTTTTATCACTGCAGGCAGTATTCGCATAGCATTTCCCTCAGTACAGAAACACACCCATTTTAAAAGGGCATTTAAAAATTAAAAGGTGCAGAAAGAAAATGTAACTCAGAGAAAGCTTTAGAATTTTAAATATGTCAAACTATTGACATCAAGGAAAAAGATTAATCAAGTCACACATCAAAAGTCAGTATTTTGTATTTTTATTTAGTAAGAAAGATGTGTAATAAAAACCTTGTCTTAGAAGCCGAAATAATGAATTCAAAGATGACATGGAGCAGTGTCTTTGGAGGCCATGAAATCTATGAAGTGCTGAACAAGCTGTCAATAAAGCATACACCACTTTCTTGATACCTTTACAGTAAGCACACTTTCACTACACACAAGTTACAAGGGGCAGAATCAAATGCTATGGCTTATGACACCCAAAAATCGCTATTAAATAAACCAGTGACCTTTTATGACAACCCCCATCAAGATCTGGAGAGGGTCTTCTGGCAGGAAATTATATAACAAGGGGGAATGGCTTAAAACTGAAGTAGGTGAGATTTAGATTAGATATTCAACAGAAATTCTTAACTGTGAGGGTGGTGAGGCACTGGAACAAGTTGCCTGGAGAAACCTGTGGCTGCCCCATCCCTGAAAGTGCTCAAGGCCAGGTTGGCTGGGGCTTTGAGAAACCTGGGCTAGTGGGAGGTGTCCCTGCCCCTGACAGAGGCTTGGAACTCGATGACCCTCAAACTACTTTCCAACTCAAACTGCTCTCTGATTCTATGATCTCTCCAGTCAGCACATGGTTCAGGCAGCAGAGCTCGGGCAGGGCACAGCCAGACCTTCAGCAGCAGCAAACCATGTCTGCCCTGGAGGAAGATGTGTTCCTGGCCACCAGGCGAGCCCCATGTGCTCACGTTATGCACACCTCAGCCTAAAAAACAAGTAATTCAGGGAGGATGCAGGAGGGGATGGCAAGGAACAATCTCCCGCAGGGAACATAATCATGCAGAGTTGGAAGGATCATCGAGTTCAGCTCCTGGCTCTGCACAGGACCATCCCCAGGAGTCACACCATGTGCCTGAGAGTATCATCCAAACGCTTTTTGAACTCAGTCCGGCTTGGTTCTGTGACCACTTCCCTGGGGAGTCTGTTCCAGCACTCAACCACCCTCCGGGTGAAAAGCCTTTTCCTAACACACAACCTAAACCTCCCCGACACAACTTGAGGCCATCAACCACGCGCCTTTGGCGCCAGTTTCTGGGCTCTGAAAGCGAGACTCCAGCCCGCACAGAACCACAGAATTGTTAAGTGTTGGAATGCCCCCTGGAGATCATCCAAGCCCAATCTCCCTGCCAACGCAGGGTCACCTAAAGCAGGTGACACACCAACGCGTCCAGGCGGGACGCTCCTGCCGGCAAGCAGACCCGCCGTGCCGGACCCGGCGCTCGGGAAGCGCGGAGACACCGTCCAGCCTCTACTCCATGCCCACTCGGGCTCCAGCTCCTTCGGGCGCCATCCCGGCCCCGCCCGCCACCGCTCCCGGATGTGCCGACCTTCCCCCCCCCCTCACCACGGCGGCCGGGCGGGCGCATGCGCACTGTGTGCCGCCGCCGCCCTCACCCGCCCGTGCCCCCCGCCCGCCCGCCCGGCCCTGCCGTGAGTTCCCCGCCGCCTTCGCCGCGCCTCGCCCGCTCGCCCCCGCCCGTGCCCCCTCCGGCAGCGCCGCCGCCCGCCCCCGCCGCCCCTGTGTAGGGCCGGGCCCGCCCGCTCGTCCCCGCCCCTCCGTCCCCCTCCCTCCGCCGGTGCCAAGTGTGTGTGTGTGCGTGCGCCGGGGGGGCGGGAGGGACGGGGAGGAGGGGGCGGCCATGCCGAGGGGGCGGCCCCCCGAGCCCGGCGGGGAGAGCGGCGAGCCCGGCGCCGAGGCAGGTAACGAGTGCGGCCGGGCGGGCGCGACCCGCGCCCGGGGGTGGGAGGCGAGAAGCCTCCGCGGGCTCCGCATATAGTCCCCGGATATGGGGGAGGAAGGCCGGGTCTATTGTGCGAGGGTACAGGCGGGCGGGCGGAGGGGAGGAGAGGAGAGCGGAGGGAGCCGGGCCCGGCCCTGCGGAATGATACCGGGCGGGCAGCGGCCGAGGCCGGGGCCGGGGCCGGGACGCCTCCCGCCCGGGCAGCGGGGCCGCGGCTGTGGGGGCCGGTGGAGGAGGGTTTGTCGGCCCTGGCCGTCCTCCTCCTCGCTTGCCTCCTCGTTCTTTGGTCCAGTCCCGGCGCCGGGCCGGCGGGAAGGGCCGGGGAAAGAGCCCGGGCCTCCTGGCGGCGGCCAGGACGGGAAGGCTCCGGCTCCTTCCGCCGCTCCTCTCCTTACCTCCTCCTCCTCCTCCCCCCGGCCACATTAACGAGAGCTTCGAATAAAGGATGATAAACAAATGGAAAATGGGGTTCAACTCGTCCACTTCTCTGATTTGCAAGGAGAAAGGCGTTCTTTTTTTTTTTTTTTTTTTTTGAGGCCTTAAAAAACATCCTTGTAGTCGTTTTCTTTGTGGGTATATGTCTAAAAAAACCCCCAAAACATCACCCCCCCCCCGATTTTCTTTCCCGATCGTGTATTCGATTTTAAAATTTTTGATTGCGTTTTAGTGTTGTCGATGACTGGACAGTACTTCAGGGCAGGATTGGTTTTGATAGGGATTTTTCTGACAGTAGTTGGTATCTAGTGAGTTTTATGGCTCTTTAGTGCAGTTCATTCCTGCTGATGTTACTGGGGTTCTATGAGCAGTATCTGATTAAGGCCTATAAATTGCAAAAATACCGTGTTTCAGGTAGGCCTGAAACCCTTATCTGTGACTTTTTCAGCACAAGGCCTTAGCAGTAGATTTTGGGGGTTTTTTTTGTGTGTGTGGTTTTTGTTTTTTTTTCCAGTAGAACGGAGTGAGGTTTCATAAAGCATCTGAATACTGTGATTATTTCTGTCATACAAAGCCAATTAATATTTTTAGTATATATTTAGAATGCCTGGTTTTCTCGATGCTTGCAGATGAGCTCTGGCTCTGCAAGGGGAACGTGTAGGTGAGCCTTCTGTAGAATACTTTTTTTGTAGGATTGAAGTGTGCTGACAGGCGAAAAATAACTGCTGTGCTGTTAGGTGAATGTTGGGAAGTTGGATAAAATGTCTTCTACTGTGCGGAAAGCCATATGGGCCGCAGTTTTCAATGAGAAGTGTTTGGGGTTTTTTCTTTTGTTGTTTCTGTTGGGACCATTTATCTCAGCTTTAGATCACTAAGTAATATGTAAAGACAGTCCCAAAGAACTTTTGCTGTTATCAGCTTTAGAGGTTGAGGGTTTGGGCTTTTTTAAAGTTTACTTGAACTCAAATACCTACTTAATTCTCTAGTAGTTCTTGAAAGGGTACACATGTCATACATGCATAAGCTCCTGTAGTAATGGCTTGATGCACGAAGGAGAAAAAGATCAAAACTGAGACAGGCTGTCCAGAAGAAGTTCCTAGTAACTGTGTTAATTTTGCTTATAGTTGGGTCTTGATCTTAGACTCTTCCTATGGTAAGAGATGTATATGGCTGCCAGGACTTAATGTGAGTTTCATCACAGTCTGTATTTTTCACGTATTTATTTCTTTTGAAAGAAATTTGCTCATTTACTAACGAAATTGTTTCATAGAGGTAGTTTGCAGACAGCAGTTTAGTATTACAGGGTGTGGGGCTACCGTGAGGATTCAGAGAGATCTGTAACTGCAATGACTGTCCCTGCTTAGGCAAATTTTGTGGGTTCTGGTGCCTTTCGTCCTTCGGATTTCAGTGGTTTGGGAAAACAGCAAAGTCAGTGTTGGCAAGTGTCATGTTTTTTTCTACACTTGTGTGTGACAAAAAGAGGTCATGAATGAGGAAGCTCTGGCTGAACAGGACAGCTTGAATTAAGGAATTTTATGTTCTCAGGACATTTGGCTGTTTGTCCCATTTAGATATAGACTGACAGACTTTGAAAACTAGTTGTGCAAGTGAAGTATAGGCTTCACTTTTAGCAGAAGGAATTTTTTTTTAGAAAACAGGTGTTTGCAAAAATAAATTTCATATCTTTTACTTAGGAAATCGTACATTTTTCGGTTCTTTTTTCGTGTGGTCCTTGGAATTCCTACATCCTTGTTATGCTGATGTCTACCATGGAAGAGAAGTGTTGCTCTGTAGTTGTACAGTCTGTATGCTTATGGTGATGCATCTCTGAGAGAAAATAAAGGTGAATTCGTAATGTTATGCAGCTTCCTTTAGACTTCTTTAACCACCATGCATGTCAAAGACTAGAACAAGTTCTTTGTTCTAAGAAAATTAAATATATTGGATTAAAAAAATGAACTCTAGACAGCAATAGTCAAAACAATATCATGACCTCAATAGCTGCTATTCTGAGATAATCTTTTTTTGTCATTGTAGTGTTTCCCCAAAACTATTTTGCAACGATTTTTTTTTTTTTTTTTTACTCAATTGAACTGTTCAGTTTGACTTCTCTGGGCACAAACGGAAAAATGGGAGGTTCTGTCTGAGCATAAGGAAACACTTCTTCAGTGTGAGGGTGACTGAGTACTGGCATTGGTTACAGAAGGAAGTTGTGAAGTCTCCTTCCAGAGAGAGGTCCTTTCTGTTGTACTGTGATGTTTGTCACTCAATAGCAGTAACATGAAATGAGCAATTTTGACCTTCATGACTATGAGATCTTTTTCAATTAGCAGAGGAGGAATTCTTTGAACAGCAAAATGAAACATTTCAGGACATACTGAAGCATTTTTTAAGCCTAGAGTGTATGTCACGTATTAAACCTAAAGACCACTTTTGCACAAGTTTGAACTGAATTCTTTTATGAGTGCAGTTAAAACTTGAGTATTTTGTGCCTTCAGGGGGCCTGAATTGTAACATATTTCACATATGAAAAGTGGTAAATATTAAATACACAAAGCTGAGAAACAGAAGATGACATAGCTCTGCAGAGCTGGCTGGCTGTATTTTGTTTGCTGCCTGTCAGTCCTCTAGCATCATTTATGGTATGAGTGTATTGAATTAGGAGAAGGTAATTTTGAAGGCTTTACATTCCACTTTTCTATAACTGAAGCAAATTGAAACTTGAACTCCCAAGTGAAGTCTTACCAAATTTTTGCTATATAGATTATTTTAGTAGTTGTGTATTAGGGTGTTATGTAGTGACCTTTGACTGACAAGAAGAGAATGGGGGAGTCATGTCTCGCAGGCAACAATAAAGAGTTTGAGGTACTGCTTGTGTGATGTGCTCTAAGTCTCTTAAATACAACAGGTATAGGTAATGCCTTTTTAAAACATACAGGAGGACAACTGCCCAAACTTTTGCCTTAAAAAAGACAATCATTAGATTTTAATAGTGATACTGTTGTTTGGCTGTTTAACTATTCTGCAGTAAGAAAACCTGTGGTTATTTATGAGGGGTGTGTTGGGTCTTAGGGAGAAGATGATAAACTTGGATTATACTGGTGTGCTTTAATTCCATGCTGGTTCCTCACTATGCTTGAAATATGTGTGTGTCTTTTCCCAAGTAATTATGCAGTTGAATGACTTGTGTTTAAGTTCTGTCTGTGTGATAACTTCAGCCCTCCTGTCCCTTCTCTCTAGCTTTCTGCCAATTGCAGAAATTTTATTCCCTATCGCACTTGTGCTGATACCTTCATACCTCATTTATTCATATGCATTAAGTGCTTCCAGATATAATTAAAATTTCTATTTGAGACCTCTCATGTCTTTCTTGTGAGTTTTTTTGCTGTAGTTGGATTTTGTTCACTCCCTGGGAGAAGCACGATCATGTAGTAAATCATTTACTTCATTCAGAAGTTTCTGTTAACACTGTAGTGTCTGGGCACAGCTAAGGGTCATGGTCTCAGCCAGGATATATCCAAATCATATAAAAACAAACAGCTGAAAAACGATGGCTTGGTATATTCATATGCAACTGTGGAAAAAAAGTGTAACTCCCGTTTTGGAGTATTTAACAATAAATATGGCAGTATTTACCTGAGTGTCAGATGAAGCTATCAAAGTTGGTGCCAATATTTTCAGTTATCTGTGTAGATTAAGATGATGTGAATGGTGTGGATATCTATGTAGTGGGTTGACCTCGGCCAGCCATTAAACATCCTCCAGCCATTCGCTCACTCTCACAGTAGGGTGAGAGAGAGAACAGGAATAGCAAGAGCAAGAAAAAGCTTGTAGTTTGAAATGAAGACAGTTTAATAAATAAAGTTTAAAAAAAAAGAAAAATAAAAAGGTAAAAACCCCCAAACCAAACCAAAAACCCTCAAGCCAGCTGAATCACCAACTAAGAAAAAAAGCCCAACCAAGTGATGCAAAGGCAAATGTTTGCCTTTAGTCAAAGATTTAAAACACAGCTGATAGGAAGGAAGTTGACTCCATCCCAGCCAGACCCAATGCAATCCATTTAGCATCTAACCAGCTATGATGGAGCTGTTAATTCCGTGTCCTGTCAGGCTTCTCTGCTGCTGCAGTGCATTAGTGTAGCTGTGCAATGGCTGGAGTCATCTGCTCCTGAAAGGAGTGCAGCTGCTTTATGTTGGCACATGCTGAGTGATTGGCCCCTGGATGTCTATCCCAGCAGTGCACTCCTGGAAGCCAAGTGTATGGACTGGTACTACTTTACATTCCTGATTGTATGTTGACCAAAATGTAATAAAACTACATTGTCTTATACAAGCAAATCTTGATTGATTTCTGGATTTTGATTTGATATGTGGACTGAGAGTTGGTCTCTCCCCTGCTCTTCCCATCAGAAGCCATGAGTTTTTGTTTACGAGTACTGAGCAAAATTTAAAGTAAACTGTTTCTTTTATGATTGCAGGACTAGGCAAAATGTTTTAATGATTCATTATCATTTGTGTTCTGTGGGTTCAAGTGTAGTATGAGGAAACGCCAGTATTGCCATCCCTGTTTTGTTCTCCTGTCCTACCACTTTCTTTCCACTCATAAATTAGTAAATAGGTTTTGATAGGGTCAGACCCTTTTGTCCCTAGGCTTGCCAGCTGCCATTTAACTTCAGTGACAAGTTTTCATCTGCGAATTTCACAAGCTTGAGCGCTTTATTCGCAGTGTCCTCTCAGTCAGATGCGAGGAGGTTATTAGAGATCTAATAAGGCTGTGCTGCATTCACAGCTGAATGAGTCCATCTGCGCCTTGCAGAGAGGACTGCAGGCTGCCATGAGGCACAGTGCTGCTTACATAAGGAGGGAATGGCTTGGAGTGCTCTAATTCTGTCTTCCTCCTTCCACGCTGAGTTGTCATCAGTGGCTTATAGCAGAGAGCACCTGCTTGCTGACTCAACTCCCGAGGTCAAGTGTTGGTGAAGGCTGTGGCACAGCTGAGTTGACCCGAAGTGATTGCTGCTGCTCTATGAGGGCCAATAAATTTAAAATAGAAAGTACAGGTTGTAACATTAAGAATATTTAAATAAGACCATCTTTAAACTGAAAGTTTGTTATCATCGGTTGGTACTTCACAAATCTGATTCTACTGTCTATGGGCACTGTGGGCAAACTGTTCATTTGAAAGTACATACAGGCAAAAATGTGTTTGACAGTGCATAATGAGCTAAGTGTTCCCTCTTTAGTTTAATTGTATGGATACTTGACTGTCTCTCTCAGGCTGTGATGTAGTAAGGTTGATTTATGTTGCAGCTAGACTAACACGCAAATTGGAAAAAAATAGAAAGTGACAGTAGATTCTACACTGTTTCCATGCAATTCATATTAATAAATGGCAGTATTTTAAGCTTTGCACCTTTTCATCGAGGTTTATTAATTAATTAAAATGCAGTATTTTAGGTTATTACTTTGACTTTTATAATAGAGGTATCAGTGTAAATAAAGTCTTCATCTGGATATTAATTCTAGCAAAAAGCTTTGTCAAAATGTTATTTCATTTTTACTTTGAAATAAAGACAGACTCAAGCCATACTTCTTGAATCTGGAACACCTGCCTGAAAAGTCAAAATGTAGCTCACTTGTTTGTTAATTTTAATTGACAGTGTCTTTTCTGTTTATCTTGTTATCCCTTTCTGTTTATTTTAATGTTAATAATTTCCATCTCTTTAAAGAAAAATTAAAATACTGTCTTCTTGTATATCTCTGCAATCAGATTTTATGGAATTATAGTCATCAAATTCTGTTGAAACATCACAAGATATTTAATTTTTCATTATATAGGTAAACTTCTTTTTGGATTCCAGAAGAAAATTCACAGCCTGTAGATTAATCAGTATTATAGTCGATATTACAGATAAATAATCAATATGACAGTTGTGATACACGTTTTAATGAAAATAATACCTAGAAAATGTTACTGAACCAAACCCGATGTCACTTAGTAATGTTATTCAGACACAGTGAGCATGTTGCTTTTTCTGTTTCCAAGTTAGCACCTTTGATGTCAGTGTTACACTTTAGCTACTTCAGTTGCTTAGGCATTGTTTTTGTATATTATCTGATGTCTTTGATCTTAAGAGTGACTTTAAAGATAATAATCTCTTTGGTTGAAGGAGAAGGCTTGAAGGCCTTTCTAAAGTCATGGATTGGGTCATTTTTCAGTTGCCAATTTAAAGTGGGAGGTCAGGCTTTCAGGGGGTTGAACAATTACTCCTTTTTCTAGGGGAACAGAAGGCCTTCCACATTACGTTTTCATATAGCCCAAGTATTGGAGTAGATTTTTCTTCCCCATCTCTTGTCCTGCAACTATTTACAGAAACTGATTTTGTGTCCTTTATTCAATTCAGGCATATTTATCACAAGGATGGTTAAAGGACTGTGTCTTTTAGTTAAAGCTGTGGTTTTCAGTTATTGAAGAAATGTGACCATTTCAGGGTTGTTATTGATAGTGTCTGCATATACTATGAATGGACAGCTGAGAGTCTGTTAAAAGATGCAGTAGGTTAACACATCATAAATATTTGTGGTACTTATATCTTTCTGTTACAGAGAAATACTTTATAACTAAAGTTTGCAAAGCAGAAATTAATTGGGCATCTCAGTCCAGAAATTGGAAGTGTAAGTCACTAGGACATTGTTTTTACTTCTTGCCCAAAATATATTGTGCTGCAATGTTTCCTACAGCTTCTTCAACTACAAGCTTTTAAAGTTTATTTATGAGAATTTTAGCAAGAAAAAAATACGGTCAGGACATAAGGTACTGATTTTTTTTTTTCCCTTGTAAATGTTGTGCTGAATGAGACAGGACTTTGAAGTGGGTGCAGTACTGAGCAGAAATACTATATGAATTGTAATTTTTTATTTCCTCTGAGGAAATGTAAACAGGATGCTGTAAACTTCTATTTGTATTGTTACTCCCTGTGCCTAATTCTTACGTTCATAGTGGAAAGTACTAACTTAAAGAGAAACATCAGGTCTTGTGTATCTAGATAACAGAATCAGTATTGACTTCTTTTTGTGGTCTGTTGTTGATGTAGTTGGAGCTGTAGCAATGTTTGAAACTGAATTCTGTAGATTTTTTGTCTTGAATATCCCTAACCTGCAGCACAAGTCAATCAATTTTTATTTTCATGTTAATAATAATGCTTTGAGTGATAACGATAAGTCCTCCTGCCAATTGCTTTTCTTCAAGTTATTCTTAAATAAAGATAACTTCTGTAGTAATACGGTATCTTCTCAAATGTAAAATGTGTTTAACGTAGTTGAATTAATATTTTCTGCATATCATAAAGTATTTATAGGTTGGACTGGCCATTTGAGCAAGAGGATATAGAAGCTTGCAACTTGTATATCAAAAGTTACGTGATTTTAGGAGTTCAAAACAAGAAAATTGTATGGGTTTAGACTGGGTCTAAAGAAAAAATACATCTCTTTCTTCATTGACTTTATGTGTACACAGTCTGACTTGCAGTTTATTGCATCTCTCTCAGCCATTTGAAACAGTGAGATTTTTTTAACAGAAATAATGAGAGGTTTTACAACTCTAAAGGTTTTAATATAAGTTTTAATAAAGGTTTTACATCACTAAGTGTAGAAGAAAGAAAAGATGTCCAAATTTTTCTTAAGTGAAAAAAAGAGAGAGAGAGAAAGAAGTGGGGAAGGGCAGAAAACCTATACAGTCAGAACTGCTGACTATGTAATTTTAAAAGTCTTAGAGACACATGAAAGTCTTAGTTACACAAGTAACCCCTGGCAGTATCTTACTCATACCCAGTGTATCTGGCAAGAGTTCTGTTCTGTTGCAAATTTGACCAGTGTGTATGAAGCACAGAAAGAATTTGTTTCAAATTACTGGGAAAAGATGATTGTTTATCTCTTTAGCAACTGGCAGTTAGAGGTATGGATATATTTGGTTGATCTGTTGTCAATGAAAGCAGTAATGTTTTTGACTGAGATCTGCAAGATCCCTTGAATTTAGAGTGTTGTATAAATCAAAATCTTGGAGGAGTTGAAATAGTTTCAGCTTCAAAAAATTCCTGGTTTTTACAGTAAATTATAAGTAGATGAAATATGACTTTATACAAATGTTTTGATTCTTGTTTTTTAGATGATGTTCTGACACCGAATATAGAGAACGGAAATTTTCCCTACCAAGCACCTAACTTCCATAAGTGCGAGATTTGTTTGCTGTCTTTTCCAAAAGAGACCCAGTTCCAGCGCCATATGAGGGATCATGAGCAAAATGACAAGGTATGAATTCTAGTAGATATAACCAGGGTATAATGATATTTTCATATACTGTCAAGTAAAGCTAACACAAGACATCTTTTCCATTTTTTTAATCACACCACTAATAATTACTACTTGGGGACCTCAGAGTTTTGTTAAGTTCCTTCTCTTTCATGTTTTCTTTGAGACAGGACCTTACTTTGATGTTGTTTAGTTAGATTGCTCTTTCCAGATCAGTAATTTTTAATTTTAGCTATTATCTTTGACTTATAAAATATTCAGTTGGATGAGAAAGTGTATGGGTTTCTTTCAATCAAATTTTGGAAGCAATTCTGTACATTAGCAATAAAAAGAAAATAATACTTAAATTGATTAACTGAACCTCACTAGCAAACTAATTTAGTACGTATGTATTAGTCAGTAGATTAATGTCATCACTTTAGCTGCTTACAAATCAAATTTAGGAAAGAATGAGAAAAAAACAGATATGTGATTAAGACTGGAACGACTTTTTAAATTAAACTTTTGCCACAGGTTGCATCTGTAATGCGAAGTATGTAATTTCTTTTCCTTGCTTTCTATTTCACAAAGCTGGAACTACTTATGTATTATGGAAAAATAATTTTTTTGCTTTTTGAGGTAGTACATACAGATTAATTTTTACAAAATGTAGCACTTTGAGATAATTTATGTATACAAAGAACAACTTACAGAAGATTCAGTGTTGTAAAGTTGATATATGGTTGTTAAAACCATGCTATTACGCAGTTTTGTATGAGCCTTTATATCTAGAAGTGAAGGTGTGCTTAAAAAATGAAAACTAATTGTGCAGATACCAACTGAAGAGCAGTCTATCCTAGCATAAACTAACTGCTTTGCTGCTTTAGTTATTAATTTTGGTTAAGAAGATATTACAGAATCATAGAATATCCGGAGTTGGAAGGAATCCTCAAGGATCTCTGAGTCTAGCTCCTGTGCCTTCACACCACAGCCCCAAGAATCATGCCATGTGCCTGAGAGAGTTGTCCAAATGCTTCTTGAACTCTGTTAGGCTTGATGCTGGGACCACTTTCCTGGGGAACCTGCACCCAACCACCCTCTGGGTGAATCATGATCACAGTTAAAGTAGGAAAATATATTTCCATCTCCTGCTCGTTCCTCTCTCCTGCTAACTTCATTCTCCTCGGACAGTCTCAGTTTTGAACCTCTGCTTTATTTCATTCCCCTGCTTTCTTTCCCCACATGCTCTTGAAATGCTGTATTTGTATTTTCAGTAGTGAGATGCAAAGGAGATAAAATAATTAAGATTGGTATTGTTTAGGATTGTTATCATATGTAGGTACTTGAACTGCTCTTCTCTTTTTAACATTTTGATTTGTATGGTTATATGTGTCACCTGGGGTATACGTAACTTAAGGGAAGATTGAATTTTGTCTTTATTTTTTGTGATTTTAACCAACAGCCTCACCGATGTGACCAGTGTCCGATGTCATTTAATGTTGAATTCAACTTGACACTTCATAAATGTACTCACAATGGCGAAGATCCTACGTGTCCTGTGTGCAACAAGAAATTCTCCAGAGTAGCCAGTCTGAAAGCTCATATAATGTTACATGAGAAAGAGGAGGTAATTAATTAAACTTTATAACTTGAAATTTTAAAAAGACATGTCATAATAGTTGTATTTAATCCCTTACCTGTATGTTTTAGATTGGATGATTGAATAAATTATTTGATTCAAAAGAAATAAAAAGCTTTTAGTGGGGAGTCTGTTTTAATAATAGTTAGAAAAATTAGTAAGCTGGATATAACTAAGTATTCTCATCATGTCTTTGTTAACAAAGAAAATCTGTGGACGTTTGACATACATATATATATAAATAGTAAATGATTGGTTATTTACAAATACTTTTATTTTGAAGGTATTTCTGTGACTTCATCTACATTGATAAGCCCATATGTAATAATCTGGGTGATCGTGATTGATGGCAGATGTTGTGGTGAGGCAGTCTCACCATCTATAGAAAGAGATGAAGTTATTGCCTTATCTACAACTCGCACCTCTGTTTTTGAGTGGTTATTTCACTTGAGAATGCTTCGTGTTCCTTTCCCTCTCAAAACTTAATTTCCCATTTTTAGAAGGCGTTGGTTGAATTCTTAGCAAACAGTTAATACGTAGTGGTGTTTTGCACACTTTATAGGCATTACTGCATTATTGCAGTTGCCAGAATTGATTACGTTGCCCAAAATACCAAGTTTTCCATCAAGTAATTGCTTCTTTCCCCTGTGAAGGCTTTTTTAAAATTACACTTTGTGTTGGACAATTGGAGCTGAACCAAGCATGCACTTTTATCATCTGACCTCTGATCATAAACATAACAGTGGTATGTTTCTTCATGCCAACTGCAGACAGCTTTACAAGCAGTTTTGACCACTAAGTTTGGGATAATAGGCCAGTTTGTACTTTTCTAAGCCAGGCAGGGCATACCATGTGTAGAGATTGTATTCCTTCTTTAGTTGTGTTTTAGTTCATGTTTTATCGTGTACACAGCCAAGTTAAGTGGCCTTGAGTTCAATTTTGTTCCATGTTAATGTATCTATAATGATACATGGCTTAATGGGTATTATTAAGGAAACTCAATTTATAAATTGCTAAAAACATCAGAATAAGGAAACTAAGCATCAAGAAAGACACCTGAGAGTGACTTTTGGTATTCATTCCTGTCACTAAGTGATTTTTCATGCACTTCAGCAGCTCTGATTTTGCAGATGTCAGAAGAATAGGCTGTGTGATGCCTTCTAATTTAAAATTCAATCTGCAGCTTGAATATTAAATTTATAAAAATATGAATACCTTTCAATTGCCAATGAATATGTTCTCATAATACCCAATAATTTTATGATAAACCGAAGATGAATGTAACAATTAATTTACAGAGAACTGCAGGAATAACTTACCCAGTACTTATGCCCAGGACCTGTAGGAGATCTGGAATTTGAACTTGAAGCAGAGGGTATTGATGATGGCACTAGCTGTCATTCAGGAGGTTTTCATAAGGATCATCATAAACTGAATTTGTTATGTAAGAACAATATTTTTCAGTAAGAAGTATTCAGATTTGAGTGTATGTCCTAGAAAAGAAAGTATTATTTGTTGTCTTACATGGTAACTTGAATCCGGTAATAAGAACATGTAGGTTAGATTAAACAAGCAATTTTTGAGTTGGTAATTATTTTCATCAAAGGGCTTCAGCTTCTTAAGCTTTTTTGTGGAAATGTCTGGTGATACTGCAGAATTTTTTTTTTTAGACTTCAGGAAGAAATTTATTGTCAAAACATTTTAAAAATAATACTGCATACCTGTGTTCCTCATGATTAAAACATTCTTGTCAATTCCTTATTTAAATGATAATAAATAATGGCCAGTCTTCACGAGTGAAGATCCGGGGAAGGTCTTTACACCTTCCAGCCTGCGCATTGGATTTTTTAGGTGAGACACAGTGTGCGCGGAACTGAGCCCACCCTTTAATCCTAAGGTTCATCTGCCGGGGCCAAGCGAGCTTGGACAGTGGCAGCGAGGTCCTTAGGACGTAGGTGGGTTGCCTTTAAGGGCTAATGAGCCCCACCTGCCCGGGAGTGGCCCTGACCGGGAATCGAACCCGGGTCTCGGAGGTGATAGCGACGCGCCTTTACCACTAGACCACTATTGTTTTCTGTTGTTTTGTTTTTATTTTTCTTCTTGATCATTTATGGAGGGGAACAAAAGGGGGGAGAATAAAAAACATTTCCATTTGCAGTGATAATCACAGTTACTGAAAAGTAAACTGTCTGAAGTTACTTACACACACCGGTGAGGAACAGAGATAATGGACATTTTTAGACATTTAAGCTTAACTCTCAGCTTAGATTTTTTAAATAAAGATAATAAAGATAGAATGACAAATAAAAATAAAGGATTTCATAAAACAAAAAGAAGTCAAGAGCTTTTAGTTTTCATTTAAACAATATGTGACTTTGATTCTGCCTCTGAATTTCAGAGAAGTGGCAATAGTTTTGCATTAAACATTAGAAGTATAATTTCCATTCTAAATGACATGGAATAATAATATAACTGGAAAATGGTGTGTTTAACGCTGCTGTAAAATTAATGGGTTATCTGTCAAGAAGCATTATGTGTCCCTGTTGATTTCTGTCGGCTTTTCTGTGAAGATAGCTTAAGAAAATTCAGTACTAACTGTAGTGGGATTACTGTTTAAAAGTGACAGTCTATATAATTTTAACAAGTAAAAGTTAGAAATCCCTGACTCTACAGTTAAGATGCTTGTGGTTAGAAAGTAGCATTTGTTACAAATGTTTCTGTAAACCATAGTGTGGTGGCGCTGAGGTAAGTTTCTCTCTGTGTCTTGAACCAACCTACTAAGGAAAGAGAGACTGGTGGTGCTTGTTTCTGCTGCCATGTGAAATTTTTTCAGAATTCAGTTTCAGTGGAGTTTCTTAAAATATAAATATTAAAATAATCTTGCAGTGATTATTGTTCATGATTTATATTATGGGACTCATAAACTTTTTTTGCTGTATACTTTCATTACTGCTTGCTTCCAGCTGACAGTGTCTATAGAAGGATACATTAATCTGCTTGAGCAAAGCTTGTGGATGTACCGCTGTTTGGGAATATTTTTAAAAATCAGTGTCTATTATCTCTTTCAGAATCTTATCTGTTCAGAGTGTGGAGATGAATTCACTTTACAGAGTCAGCTGTCCATACACATGGAAGAACATCGTCAAGAATTGGCAGGCAGTAGGATCCACAGCTGCAAATCTTGCAAAAAGGAATTTGAAACTTCCTCACAGCTAAAGGAGCATATGAAAACTCACTATAAAATAAGGTGACGATCTCGGGATTGTAACAAAATGAGCAGATGTTAGTTTCATGGTGATAGCTGGGAAAAGCAGGAGTAGCATTTCTAGTCAGCAAAATACCATGATTGATGCAGATAATTTCTTTTCTTTGGTATGCTATTATGAAATGGCATTTGCTTTTTAAAACTCTGCTAAAGTGGGTGGTTATTTTTGGAGGCCTTTTTTTCCCCCTGTTTTTGTATTTAGGCACACATACTAAGCATAGTTCATCTGCTAGCTATTTGTAAACATGGGTAAAGTTTTTCTGCTGCAAAGTGATTTTTTGAAGCATGTTTTTGATTTTAAAGGCTAATAGCAGTACATTGAAGCAAATGTATATTAATTTTATATAGCCTTTCTTATAATGACAAAAGTTCTCATGATTGCCTTCTGCAAAGTAAAGTTGTTCATCACAGTTTAATAGTTTTTTGCAAGTGGTCCTCATCACAACCTCCCGTGAGTTTCTTGTAAATCTGAAAAAGCACAAAAGGAAGGGAAAAAAAGAAGCCTGACAAATGCTGTTCTTATTTTTGGTGGATATTTGTTCTGTCCTTTCTTTCAGCTCTCTAGTTTAACTTTACTTGTAGGAATGTGAGAATTTTTTTAAGTTAGAAGGAAGAAAAATTTAGTTCTATTGGTTTAGTTTATACATTAAGAAAGCCTAAAGTCTTGACAGGTGATCTCTCTTAATCTTTACCTTGTTTCTATAAAAAACAGATGGGGAAAATTGTGTGCTTAAAAACAAGATATACTGTCTATTTCCAGATCTTTTTGTTAGCAGATGATACAGGTTCTAAGATCTTAATAGCTGTGTTCCAGAAGGCTGAAACAAGTGTTGTTTTAGATTTTTGCAAACTGAAATTTGAGAGCTTGAAGTATCACGTTATGTTTGTATTGGGTTATATAAATGTACAATATTGCATGCAAAAAGCATTCCTTCTTGTGGGCATCTCCCGTGTAGAGATGTTTGGATGAATAAAAAATAGAGGAGTGAATATAATATGATGGTTGTGATTTTGAGGGAGTATTATGCATGCCCCATGCTGACATAAAAGACGTCCAAGTGCTTCATGATCATTTGTTTATATTCCTAGGCATGGATAATTTCTGGATTCAGAACTTTCTTATATGGCATTCACCTTATTTATCAGTTCAGATGTAGAGACATGTTGCAGTTGTGTTCAATAAACTACAGTCTGTACTGGTGCTGTGCTGTCCTTTAACCAGCAGTACTAATACAACCCATGTGATGTGAGCAGGGTTAGTGACTTGATGCAGTGTTCCCGCTCCAGTTCATCACAAAGCTAATGTAGCTCAGAGCTGTGTTTCATCGGAAATTATTTTAAAAGGAAAAATGTGGAAATTCAGATTTTATTGTTGCATGTGAAAAGATTAATTATTGAATTATGGAAAGTTAATATTTGGTCTAACTCAATTATGTAGAGTGTATTTAAACTTCAAAGACATACATCAATTTGACTACTGTTTTTCAGTGTAAAATAAGCGCCAGAGATTTTTTTAGGATTTTAAATTATGAAGAGCTTTGTTCCCTTAAGTTTTTTTCTTAGAGTGGATGCACTTTTGTTGCCAAAAAGGTAATTGTTCTCTGAATCATTTGTATGGAAGACTATTGTGAAGATTTTAGATTTAAGTTTAATACTAATTTAAATACAGTGTTTAGCTTTTGATGAAAAGAAAATGGTCATTCAGACTCTAAATAATGAAGTAATTTAGAAGGTGATCTGATCTTTAACAATTGTCCCTACAACTGCCAACAAATCAGATATTAGTTTTGTTCTTAAAGTGCTGCAGATATAGTTAAGACATGTTGCTCATTGAAGAGTGTATTCTGATGATCAGGCTGGTCTAGATCTGTCCTGAGGTGAAAAGAAGAGGCTGTAACATCTGTGCCGTTCTTTCTCCTTCTTTTCAGTTTTCAGTTGACTTATTATGGATACTTCGTTAAATTTTAGTAGATATAATTAATATGTAAAATTAAAATATATTACCCTCACTGTGCTTATTCTGTAAGGTTATAAAAGGACTTTAAAAATACATGTAATTTTTTAAAAGTTATTAGAAAGGAAAATGTGCTTTCCTTTAAATATACGCTGAATATCTGTGTTCTCCTAGAGTGGAAAGATGCAGCATTTGAGAAGTTTATGATTTCTTGTGTTATGCACAGACTATTACTTCCCTGCGATTTTCTTCTGTTATACAACTTGTCTTTCAATGTGGTGGTGTGCTTTGCACTTTTGCTCCACATTAGCTAATTCTAAAATTGTTTGATATCAGTTAGAATTAAGCAGTACTGAGAAGCTGGATTAATGTATAGGTGTTGTTACTCTGGCAGTATGGAAGATAATGGAATGCTCTCAATACTGTACTGGTTTGCCCACTGCCTTCTGGCTTCTGCTTGTTTTCCTGAGTTGTTTTGATGGTCTGCAAAATCTAGGTTGTTTTTTTTTTTTTCCAGTCAGTTTTCCACATTGCTGTTGATGTTTCTCAGCAGTCATTTAAACTGGTTAGTTTGATTTGTAGACAAATGAATTTGGGGAATTTATATCATCTGTTACTATGGTCCTGTGGAGAGTGTGATTTGTATTTGAGGGGCAGGGGTAAATATTTGGGTTGTTAAATTCTTAGCTTGCTCTTAATAGAGTTCAGCAAGTGCATTGACACTCAAATTCATGAGATTTTCGTATTCTAGTTAAGAATAAAGGACTTGCTGTGTTCAGGAAAAGAAACAGAGTTGCACAGAGTTGAAAGTTCCCATGAAAATAATATTTGTGAAGTGACTGTATACTTCTGGCAGAATTTACCCTGAAAATGCCTCTAGAGAGCCTCTAGGATATATACATTTGTATTACAGGAATAACTAAAATTCTTGGTGCGTGTAGGTACTTAGAAAAGAACTGATTGCATTGTTCTTTTAGAATCATTATAGACTTTGGTTTTTCAGTGTTACAGCTGATACTGCATGTTAGCAAGTTTACACTGTGCTAAAAACTATGGGGTAAAATAAAATCATTAACATAATGCTCCATATTAAAATTATTTAATTATTTTATATTTTTTTTAAATGACAGAGTATCAAATACCAGATCTTACAACAGAAACATTGACAGAAGTGGGTTTACCTATTCCTGTCCTCACTGTGGAAAGACCTTCCAGAAACCGAGTCAGTTAACGCGACATGTTAGAATACACACAGGTAAGGCTGTGGAAGTAATTATTTGCTTTTGTTTTACAAAATTCAGTTAACTTGTGAAATGCTATTCTTTTTCTCCCTGTTGGGACTTGAAATACTATCAATACATTTCACTCATTAGATACTGTTAGCTCTTGGGTTAAAATAAACTGTATGTAATTCCTTTGCTTAGCAAATGTGTATTTTCAAAATTTCCAGATTCATATAATTGCAATTAAAAAATAAAATTAAAAAAATAAAGTACTCTATAGGTTTCATTTTTTACCAAATATCAGTTTTGGTACTTGAAGTTTCAGTGGGACCTAAAATTAGAATGTCTAGGCAAGGGCAAGTTAGCTACTCTAAATAAGATCTTACATACTCTAGAGAGCAGGTTCTAAAATCTACTATCCCAAAAAAGAGTAAAAGTACATAAGAATTAATAATGCTACTAAAATATTGGCCTTGCATTTGTTTTTAAATTGATTTATTTGAAATTGCAAAATGATCTTGGGATGTGATAAGCCTAGATTGTAATTTTGGTAATTGAAGAAGTTCAGGTGGCTGTTCGAATTTGCAGAATGAAAAGCAAATGGTTTTTTGCTAAATTGCTGTCGTAAATATATGCACACTTAACCCTTAAGCAGTTGAAATAATTGAAAAATGCCAAGCATAAAATAAGTTTTGGAAGTTTACAGATGACTAAGAAAAGAGTTCTTAAGTTTCAGCCAGCTATTCGTGGTATAGCAGGAGTTTGGCTTTAAACAGAACCTTCATTGGAGGTGTTTCAGTGCTTTGCAATATGTATGTATTTTTCATATATATTGAATAATTTACTGTTTGTCTAGTTTTCAGCTAGTCCAAGTATGCAGTTATGTAAGTCTGCAGTGTTGTTTATGTTAGCAGTCTGTTCAGGCACAGATGTGATGAGTTGCTGTTTACAAGAATGGCTTTGTTTAACCAAGGGAAAAATAAAAATACCATTTCATGACTCTTTCTTAAGAATCTTTTAAAGTTCAACAGACCCAGTTATAGAACAGTAACACAAGAGGTCACCCTTGTACCTGCTTTAAAAAAAGTGCTTCAAACAAATACCCACAAAAAGGTCAGCGAAAGCTGAGTGTTTTAGAGTCTTGATTGTGTTTGGTACATTATTTTAGCTTAGTCTAGTCAAAATTGAAGAAACAAGATTATAGGTGGTTAAAGATGCTTATTTAAAGCTTCAAAAGTTCAAAGGCATTTATGATTCCTTTAAGGAATAAAAAGGTATTTGTCTACTGGGAAACCAGAGACAGAAAATGCAGTCCCAATCTGCACATGACAGTAGATAATTTTAAGTTCCAAGTAGGTAGCAAATACTCATTTAATTTGTGAATTATGTTATTACTCTAAACCTGCAGACAGTCTGTCTGATATTCAGTTGCTTGAGGTACTGTAACTGTGTAGGAAAGGACAACTCTACTGTAAAGAATTTAGAATCCCCAAGTCTTTAATTGTTGAAAGAGCCTGTCTGTGCTACATGAGCAGCATTACATTAGTGTCTTAATTTGCAGTACTATTTTCTGTTCTTAACTAGTCATTTCAAGCACTTACACCCTTTTGGGAAAAAAATTAGATCTCAGAGACTGCAATTCCCATACTAATAACTAAGTAATGAGCCCCTCATTCCCCCTCTCAATCTGTGTTTTATTAAGTTATACTTGAGGAGTACAGAAATTCCACATTTCCACAGTAGAATTAAAATTTAGTTTCTGTAATGAGATTTACTTAAATAGGCACACTTAACCTGAAGCAATACTTTTGTGTCCACCAGCTGTTAGAGAAAGCTAAGCCTTTTACCTGTGAAAGCCCAGTAGGAATTTTGTCATTGTATTTCAAGATGTGAATCAATGTTATTTATCTTCAAAAATAAACAGTTAAAACCTGCAGATCTTAAAGCATCTTCAAAACCAATAAGCAGCAAAACAGAAAATATGCATTCCTGTAGTGAGTTAAATGCTTGTAATCTATTTCAAAAAATAGCTGCTTTTATTCCAGATTATGTGAATTTAATTAAGAATTAATAAGTGTAAAGTAGATGTAATTACAACTATATCATTAGAAGTCATATAAAAATATTCATTAAAACTACTTTAATGTGCATAGTCTTCAGTGCATGGTTATACTTACTGGTGTAGCAGACATAATGTACAGAATGCTCATAAAGTTTTTGCTAAAGAATTTTGCAAAGGCAATGTTTTCAATGTCCTTGAGTTACCTCAACTAAACTATTTCGTTAAAAGGAAAAAAAGTCAGTTCTGAGTTCACAGTGGAAGTTCCAAGTAGTCAATTAAGACACATTTGTAAGAAACTGAAATTTATTCTTAGTATGTGTATGTTTAAAATGTGTGGTTTTGTAATCTGTTTATGCAGTTCTGTTATGTTCTGTCACCCTACAATTTCTGTGGAGTTTTTCATGCCTTATCTGTGAATGTTCAAATAACTGGAAGAATGGGCAGCACTGAGATCACCAAAACTGGGAAATCATGGCAGAGCATTCCTGTAACAATATTGCCTAGTTTTTCTTTAATGTTCAATAGCAATGTGAACATTCAGAGTCTTACAATCCTGCTCAGAAAATAATTTTGTTATATCTCCTATAATATTTTATTGCATATTTTCAATAGATGATTGTAAAGAGTGAATGGCTGTTAATATTTATTGTGGAGTGGGAACCATAGGCCATCTTCTGCAGTGTTACTGTAAGACCTTTTGATTTTTAAACTAAATAAAAGGTTAAATTTTTGACTCATTTATTACTGTCCATTTACCCTCTGGTCCCTCTGTTTCAGTGCAGATATATGCATTCTATAGGACTTGATGTGAAAGTCTTATAGGAGTGATGTATATGGGTTTGTTTTTATTTTCTTTCCCCCCCCTTTATTTTTTTTCTCCAGTGATTTTGCATAACAGCTTCTGAGATCTTTCAAAGCACAAGTTGAGAGAATCCATTCTAAATAATTACTTCATATAGAGTTTCATCATTTTAACCGTTTTAACTAGTAATCATCAGCTAGGTCAGGTCACAAAATTTTCAGAAGGCTACATTGTCATCAGAGTAGGTGCTGCGCTTGGTGGATGAGGTAAACAATTTTCCTTCAAACTCCCTAATAAAAGGTTTTTGTGTGTATGTAAGGATGTCTCTAGGCAATATTATATTTTAGCTGCTACAGTTTTTTGTTTAAATACAGGAAACTGCTAAGGCTTCTTTGAAGCTCCTTACCCTCCTCTTCCTCGTCTTCCCTATTCCTTGCAGGTGAAAGACCATTCAAGTGCAGCGAGTGTGGGAAAGCCTTTAACCAGAAGGGAGCGCTGCAGACTCACATGATCAAGCACACGGGGGAGAAGCCCCATGCCTGTGCCTTTTGTCCCGCAGCCTTTTCCCAGAAAGGCAACCTGCAGTCGCACATACAGAGAGTTCATTCAGAGGTAAATACAATTAATTATTTGAGTCCTTGGTGCTGTCATGTCTTGTTCAGTTGTTGCTGTTCCTATGTGCTCCAGTGCTGTTTGCAGCCAGTACAGATTTACTGCTGTGGAATAGATTGCAGTTTGCTGGTTTGACCAGCAAGCTTTCCTGAAATAGCTTGATCTGAATAAATGTGTACTTAGGAGAAGCAGCAAAACCTTCATTGACCGTTGTCTTTTCAGTACATAAATAGATTAGTAAGTAGTGGGTTTAGGTGTATAAAAACATACCTATGTCTGTCCTGGGAGAATGAGGACTAGATGCAGATGAAAGTAAGCCAAAAGCATCAAAGCAGAAAATGGTGAAAAATTTCAAGGCCAAACCCATTAACTTCATTGTAGAGCTTACTTGCCGTTTGTCTTTGAAGTATATGTCTTACAGCCTTTTTCAAAAGTTTTTTGGTTACAGGTAGAAGAAAATTCCAGAATAAGATTAAAAAAATTGTGGTCTCAGATCTCTTTACACCTGTTGTTTTTCTTCTCTTTGATAGACAGGTTTTTAGATTCAAAAGATACTGCTGTGATAAAGTAATACAATCATCTGAGCAACATGGGTTGTGCAACTTTGTTCAGCAATTTCCTTACTGACTTTAGTGATTTTTGGTTGGAAATACCCATAGAAAGAGATCTAGTTTTGATTTGTAAGGTAGGAAGTAATAGAGGCAGCATTTTTTGCTCTTTTTTTTTTTTCCCGGGTGCAGAATAGCATCTCTGTTCTCACTCTTCCCCTAACTCTGTCCAAGATTTGCTTTCCTGTTTCCGTTTTTGTGTTACAATGATATATATTTTTGGGATTTTTTTACTAAGGATCTTTTTAGCGTATTAGTTTCTTAGTTTTAGGATGTGCCTTAGTATATGGATATGTCTTAGTAGTTTGTATTGCACTTGGTTATATTAAATCATACAACTTCGAGTCCTGTGTCCAGTTCTGGGCCCTTCAATTCAGGAAGTACATTGAAGTGCTGGAGCAAGTCCAGAGAAGGGCAATGAAGCGTGTGAAGGATCTGGAGCACACGTGAGGAGTACCTGAGGGAACTGAGGTTGTTTAGTCTGGAGAAGAAGAGGCTCAGGGGGGACCTCATCACTCTCTACAACTACTTGAAAGGAGGCTGTAGCCAGGTGGGCGTTGGTCTCTTCTCCCAGGCAGCTAGGGATAGGACAAGGGGACATAGCCTCAAGCTGTGCTGGGGAAGTTTAGGTTGGATATTAGGAAGAATTTTGTCACAGAAAGGATGATTAGGCATTAGAATGGGGTTTCCCTTGGAGTTACCATACCTAGAGATGTTTAAGGAAGACTGGACATGGCATTTAGTGCCATGGTCTGGTTGACAGGGTGGTGTTTGGTCATAGGTTGGACTTGAGGATCTCAGAGGTCTTTTCCAACCTAATTGATTCTGTGATTCTGTATCTTTGTGTGACTAGCCGTTTTCACAGTTCACAGCTTCCTGTATGTGATAGCTTTTACTACATAAAAAAAATGCACCAACATTGATTTTACATTGAGTTTTTTCAAACAAGATTATTAAGGATGAAGTAAGAAAAATTTTTTACTTTTTTCTCTGTTACTCAGTTTTTTTGTAAGAAACAAGCTGTGGAATAAGGTATTTTAAATAAAATTCTATGTCTGGATCATATTCTATGCTACTGTGGTCCGAATTACCCTAAATTTGGGTAATTTATTGATTTTTTTTTTCTTTCTTGTTCTTGCTGTATTTTCTTCAAGGCTGCATGGCATTCTATGAATTCTTTGTTTTATCCTGAGACAATTACAAGGTAACATAATAGGTGATAATGAATTACAGCCTGATTCTCATTTGGTAAGGCACTGTTTAGTTGTGGCAGTATTTGGTTAGTTGATACCTCTTTTTCAAAGGGTCAGTGTCAGAAAATACAAAATATCACACTACATTGCCAGAACTTCAGTGTGTTTTCTTTTGAATACTTTGTTGCTCCCTTTATATTGTAATTACAGCACTGGCTATCACTGCTGTGATAGACTGAGAAGGGCAATTGATTAGTGTTAAAATCTGCAAATTTAGCTGCTTCAATTACCTTAACTCCTTGGTCTGAAAGTCCCAAACAGATTGCTGCTGATCACTTTCTTACTTGTGTGTTCTAATTCAGTTCAAACTTACATGTTAAACTTCCCCACCCTTCACTGTGATGTTTTTGTCTGCATTTTTTTCTCTTTGTACTTCAAAACTGCCTTTTGTCTTATGTACGATGTTTCATCTTCAGACACATCTTAATTGATGAAGTTGCTTTTCCTTTTTTTTTCTAAGTGTGGAACAGTAGGAAATAGTAAAGAGGGAAAAGTCTGCAGCCTCATTTGCCACTTGACATTTGTTGTACTGTCTCGTGCTTCCCAATGTTGAGAAGCGGTAATAGGCAATTATAGTCATGCACATAGATTACAGTTGATTTGATATCCAGGATATACCAGACTGATTTCATACCTGGTTATCAGTAACTTGAAAAAATAAACCATTTTACTCTCGTTATCTCACAGTATCTTTGTTATATGGATAAATAATGAAACATATCTTTGGTAAATGTAGGGAAAATTTACTTAAATTTTTTGTGGTTTTTTTTTTTTCTTTAAGGTGAAGAATGGCCCTACATACAACTGTACAGAATGTAGCTGTGTCTTCAAGAGCTTGGGTAGTTTAAATACACATATCAGCAAGATGCACATGGGTGGTCCACAGAATTCTGCGAGTGCTTCAACAGATGTATCTCATGTTACAACAGTAAGTTTTGCTTGATATATTGTGAAAATGCCTTTGAGAGTTTAATTAGCTCTATCTTATTTCCAGTAGTTCTTTGGATTGGTTAGATCTTCTAGACCTGTAACTTCTTTTGTCTTTTTCATGTTTTATGTGATTTCTGGTATTAATTTGCAGGGTTAAATATTGGGAGTATGTAAATTGGCGAAGTATATGCAAAAAAAAGAAGATTTGCAATTTGAGGTTTTGGTTGAAAATGCAGTAGTACAATTCTACAACTAAGTAAAATATAATTCTGGTCCTTAGAGATTATGTTAACCTCCCAGATAATATAAAAATAATGGGAAAGTTTAAGTGTAACAATGAAATTTAGAACTATTGAAATAACATATTAGTTGCCACTCATTTTCAGAAATTGCTTATATGAATCTACTCCATATAAACACATAGTGGATCCTTCTGTGTATTTCCACTAATTTGTTTTAAATATTAGCTTCTTATTTGGCGGATTATAAAGGAAAACCATAGCTTTATTGGAAGTACTGAATGTTTTTCTCTCTTTACCCAGATACAACTAAAATTCAGAAAATGCTTCTGATTTTAGAAGACTATTCCATTTCTTGAGAGAGTGCATATTTTATTTATCATAATACTTTTTTTTTTCTTTGAATAAAACTACCTTTTCTACCTTTATTCCACTGTGATTTGCTTAATTTCCAACTTTAATGTTTAATGGATGGCAAACAAGACTAGTCCTTGAAGAGGAGGGTTAATATTAGAAGTCTCAGCTTCATTATACAGCTGTATCTTATTGAAAACAACGGTCTAGTAATCTTGTTTGGAGAACCGTTTTTTTAGATGCAATTTCTTTCTTCATGTTAATTGATTAAAAAAAGGTAAATGTGGCCTGCTTACTTGCAAGTACATATATTCTCTGTCTTTTTGTGCATTTCTACATTCACAAACCTAATCTTAAAAGCACGATGGAAAAGAATTCCTTCATAGTACCTCATTTTTGTTTTCCTCAGCCAACTCTGTTCTTATTGTTTTGATATGCTTAAATATTTCGCATTTGCCTAGCATATTGATATTACAGCAGTGTTACTATCTTTGCTGCATGCATACTTCTCTGCTTCCATGGAAGAGTACAGCAAATATGCCTCCATACAATAGTATAAGCAAAGAGAGAAAAGGGAGAAAAAACCTCTCCCTAAAAAGAGATGTCAATAAGTTTAACAAGGAAGAGCAGAGATAATAAATGATGTGGCAGTTGCATATTAGAGAGCATTTCGCTTTTTATTTGCACCTTTTTATCCGAAACTACAGATACTTAATTATTAGTATTTTTTTATTGCTTTAGAATGTTGGTACATTATTAGGTTAGTGCTAGCATTCTTCGATTAGAACTAACCTTCATTCTGCCCAAAACTTGCAGAGCTGCTTTAACAACAAATCTCCAGTATAATAATTCTATTCTGAAGTTTGGAATAGGCTTTGTCATCCCTTGTTACCTACCTGGGGATAAGCAATAATTATGTCCTTATTAAGTTCACATTCCTTTAAAAACTGAAGTTTCCTGAAGTGCTGTGCTACCAAAGAATGCACTCTTGTGTGCTACATGAGTACATCTTATAAATTATGGTTACTCTAAGGCTGTTATTTGTCTTTTGCTGGATCAGTACTTACAGCTAAGGTGTTTGTTTCTGTAACTTGTGTTTATTTCGTGTATATAAACTATGAAGCAGTGATGGTGATTTTATGTACTTTTGTTTCTTTCACATAATCTCATTTTTCTGGGAAAATAAACTATACTACTTTTCTGCATTACATTAGCCATGTTTTTTTCTATTTGACGAAGGTTTAAAATACTTTATTTTCATTTCTTTGTAGGACCCTGTCACCCAGCCTTTAACAACATCCCCTGCTAATCTTTTGCAACCTGTTGATAGCAAATGGAAGAATGTAAGTGTAAAGTTTTTGTCCCGTTTGTGTATCAAAACTAGAAGCAGGAGAAACTTTACAGAATTTTATAAATTTTCATTTAACTGGTGAAAAATGATATGCAATGATCCTCTGTGATAAGTTTACCAGCTAATATGGGAAGAGAAGCTCTTTAGTGAATGCAGCTAGTTATGTAGAGACAGAACAGGTCTTGAATGGATTATATTCCCTCATTTCTTTACACAATCATGATTTTGCATATAATTCTGTTCAATAGCTCTTCAAAATGGAACCAAACACTCTTCTGTATAAAAGGACCAGAGGAGAGTAAGGACTCTTAAAAATACTAGATTGGCCTGCCCCTCTGCCTTTACTTTGCATGGATACCATGGTTTGGGTTAGAGGAAAGGAGCTGTGTTCATAATGGTTGAGCTGGTTGGAATTTGGGCAGCACTGGAACTGTGGGGTTCAGGGTGAACTGTGGAGCTGGGGAAGGAGGATGCAGGGCTGACTTTCTGGAACCCCACAGCAAACAACTGTGATGTACAGACAGGTCTGTATGTGCCAGTCCCACTGAGAATACTGACCTGTTTTTCTGCAGCTGTATAGCATCTTATTTGTCACCTATTGATTGCAGTGTGGTATCTTAGTGGCAGACATCTGACTTACAGTCTCCCTTTCCCCAATTCAGCTACTGATTATCTTCTGATGTACTAGAATCCGTCAAACCAAGAACTAGGAAATGTGGCATTACTGCTTTAAAGTCACTATAAACAGTCCACCCACTTTCTTTTTATCTATTCATGTAAATTCTTTATTCCAGAACCACTTAACTTATGTCTGGACAGAATTGATGTGAACTAATTGGTTACAAATATTTGTTATATTAAATAATTATACTATTTCCTTGTGAGATTTTAAAAATATTGAAAATGGTTGTTCTTCAAAAGTTTAAGTAATGTTTTTTAATCAGTTGAAATTGAAGTTCAAGCCTTGCATAGTCTCCTGCCTTTCTCTAGATGCCACCTTCCCCCCCCCCAGATAAATTTTTGCTTTGTGTAGGGTGGTTTATATTTGAAAGTTCTACAGCAAATCAAGTTCCAGGGAAGAAATGATCACGTCTCTTTCTCTTAGGAGTAAAGAGGATGGATTTTGTCTTTTTTTTTAATTGAATCCAAATATGGGAATTAGACCCTTGTGTCAGGGTGTTATAGTCTCTGGTTCCCTTGTACTTGATGGAGTGTGCCAGGTTTTTTCCTAGTGAGAGGTATGAGTTGGGAGCAATAGATCCTCCCAAAATTGCGTGAAATTGCCAGGCATCTCTCCAGCCACTCTGTTCCCAGCCTGTGGCAGTACATGTGGTTCTTGTGACCCAAGTGCAGGACCTGGCACTTGGTCTTGTTGAACCTCACACAACTGGCCGCTGCACATCTCTCTGGTCTGTCCAGATCCAGTCTTGTCTGTTCTCGGTATTTCCTTCTGCAGTTTATGCTGTTTTCACTTGTTTGTTTATATTGCTCACTGTTTGTGAGCTGTCTTCAATAATACAAGAGAAATCAGAGCCATCAAAATTCTTAAAATATGCTATGATGTGTTTTTTTATTGAAGAGATTCAAGGTATGTTAGCTGCCCTGCCCAACAGATAAAATACTTAAGGGTGAGTTGATCTTATGTTTTGAAAAAGAAGGAAAAATCTATAATCTCATTAATAGAGATGAGAACAATAATTTTGAGGGTTGAGGCTAGATAAATTGACACTTTGAAATAAAGTATGGAATTTTAGTGTGGATAATTTAATGATGGAGCCACATGTTGAATAGTAACAAAAAAAGTTATCACAATAAAGTACTTGAATTAAAGAACTGCTCTAATTTTTGTACAGTTACTTTATTTGAAGGAGTAATTCACTCAGAGCAGTCGCATGGTCTGTGTTACAAGAAGATCAGACAGATCAGGAAGAGAAGTTTATAAATAAAGGCGAAAAAGAGTCTTTATTTCCTATTTAAAAAATAAATAGCAAGGCTTTATATCGCTTTTTTTTTTCATATTTTTTGCTAAGGTAGCCTAAGATACAATTGTCAAATCAAAGATTAAGAAATTACATTTTTAAAATTCAAGTTTTTGTAGTATTTTTACAGAGCCTGATGTCTATTTAAATGTTCAGAGTATAAAGAGATTCTTCTAAAGCTAAGAGGTTTTGAAGGTTGAAAGTTGAAGGGGAAAAGTTGGTGGTTTGTTCTGAAAGGTTTTGATGTAACAACACAAATTATTTCATACTAAAAAAATCGCAACTAATAGAAGGTTATTTTTTCCAAAGGACCTGCTTGAAATAAATGTGAACTTTGGAAAGATAACCACCTCAGTGCTGTTTATTTGTTTTGGAATTACTTTTCATGTGGTATTCTGTAGTTGATCCCTGTGTTTTGTAAACTAGTTGAAGGTTCAGTAGTTTAATAAATTTAATTCAATCTGTGAGCTTACAATTTCAAGGTTGATAAGGACTCAAAAAAAGGGATATACAGAAGCAATTCTTTAGTGGAGCAAACAAACCTTAAATGACAACTCTGTATAATCCTTATGTCTTATACAAATAGACATCTTTCTAGTGGACAGTTAAGATAAGTGGACATTTCACATAAGGGACCTGGACAGGTGAGTTCATAATATATACTTTCCATCTTCCTTTACAAATATACTGCTGTATATTTCAGGCCACACATTTTCGGTCTCCACTTCTTCAACAGACAGAAAACCAAGTGTCTCCAGCTGCTGCTCACCAGGGTCAGCAGGCTGTCACCGATGTCATTCAGCAGCTCCTTGAGTTATCAGAACCAGGTCCTGTAGAAAATAACCAACCTCAACAACCTGGTCAGCAACTCAACATTGCGGTGGGAATCAGTAGAGATATTTTGCAGGTAAGAGCTCAGTCTGAGAACAGCTTTACGTTTCAGTGGTTTCTTTCTCATATTGTAGTGAAATTAATTCTCAGTATTTTCAATTATAGCATTCCTTATGCATTTCTAAATCATTTATCAGTAAAGAAAAAGCTTTAAGGATCTATTGAATGGGTATGGAATGTACCAAGGTATCTTTTGTATAATAAGTCAAAGGAAAGGTTATAAATATTGATTATATGGCCTAGAAGAAAGCTTTAAGTGTAAACACCCATACATTACTATTTTTATTGATCACTCTAGCTTTTTGTTTTTCTGTTGCCTAGAAGCAGCTTGTGGCTTGTCCTTAGGTTATGCCATGCTTAAATCATGATGACATTTAAGAGGGGAAAAATATTTTTATCTGGCTAAAAATGATAATGTATACATGACCTTTACCCTGTTCTATTTAATAAGAATATTTCTTGTGCAAGAAATTTTTTTCCAAGGTCAACCAATGTTTTTCTTAAACCATTAGATTCTGTCCTTGATGTAGGAGACAATGTGTAACAGAAGAGAGGCAGGGTGGTGAATCAGCTATATGTGCTTGTTCTATAGCCTGCACCACATAAAGGCACAAACAGAATGGGACAGGGCAGAGAGTAATATTCTTTAGTATTAGTTGTAGCCTACTAACCTTGAAACTATCTTTTTATCTCTAGTCTTTTAAGGACCATTTAAATTTCTTTTTGGAAGACCCAAATATTACATGTAGCTGTGTGCAGGTTTACCATGTTACCTATGCTGAGTTCTGTAATGTCTGGAGTGTGATGTGTAGTTGCAGAAATAATATGATACATAACTATTATTCTGATAGCTATTTAAACAAAAAATGTTGTTTCCTAAAAGGCAGCTGTTGACAAATGAATAAGTGCAGGAAATGCAACTTAAAATCTTACAGACTTGGAATCTACCTGAAATTCTGTGAGAATAAGACTTTTAATTCCTTTAATTGTATTTGCGTTATGTCTTCCAAGTAATTGCTTGAGAAAAGCTGGGGTAACTGTGGAATGTTTCTTTCTTAATCTAGAAGGTTTTTTTGTTCTTTTTTTAGCAAGCATTAGAGAACAGTGGGTTGTCTTCAATTCCTGTCTCTGCACATTCTACTGACTGCAGCCAGGCTAAGACTGCTGGGCCCCAGGATCAGAACCCAGATGTCCCAACTCTCTCAAATCATCAGGCTGATTCTAATAATGCAGAACAAGATAAGGAGCAAGAGAGTACAGATAAACTAGATAAAAAAGAAAAAAAGTTTATTAAGAAAAAATCACCGTTTTTGCCTGGTAATGTTGCCACTGCTTTCTACTTCTTGTGCTCTTAAGACTGTACTATTTATGTTTATGGCTTTATAAAGGGATTCCCCAAAATGTATTGTGGATCAGTGATGAACTTTATTTGCTCTTATCTCAATCACAGTGTAAGATATGAACAGTAGTATCTGTAACTCATTACACAAAACCGTGTCAGTACAGCATTAAGTGAAGTGACACTGCTAAATCTTTTGGATTTAGATCAGTGGTGTTGGTATAACAACAGAGGACAAAAAAGAAAGTATATGAATCTTTTTTCCTCTCTTTCCCATCATCCTTCACTGGGAAGGACTGGGTTTTGACTGTGTGTCTCCGAACAGAGTTCTTGCAAACTCTGTTCTTCCTCTTCAGAAGTGAGGCCCCTCAGAGGCGTAAGTACAGTACTGCTGCCTCATGCAGATCTTCACTGATCTTCCCATGTAGGCAAGGATAAAGGTTGGCAGTGAATAATACTTCATGTCACCTGTCTCTGGAATAACAGTACTGATGTGATATTGTCACCATAAATATGTGTTGATATTCTGCTTCCCTACTGTGTTGTGTGTATACAAGTCTGAGTTTTGTCTGTGTGTGCTTAAATGCAACTTCATTTTCAAGGTTACTCAAGCTTTGTGTCTTCTTGAAGTTTGTTCCAAGTAAACCCATCATACTTTAGTGGCTTGCCTGGTAGAGACAGCACTACAAGAAGCCATTGAGCTCTGGTTTTAGTATCTTCATAGATACATTGATGTTGTTTTTTCTTTTGCAAGGGGTGGACAAATTGATCCAGAGTCAAAAACTCAACTTGTTCAGCATAACTGTGGTAAAAATCAATATTAACGTTTTCCTCTGGTAATAAGTATTTTGTTGCTTGTGTATAACCTTAATAACTCTCTAGCTCTGACTGCAAATAAAAAAGGCATTGCTGTATAGTCAGACTTTGACAGGTCAAAACCTTTGTTCTTCGATAAAGTAATATGACCTCAGTGTATTGAGATGGTTTACAGGAAAAACCCACTATGTAAACAGATTTAAATGAGAACATATCTGATATTGAACAACATGTATAGATAAAAAATGCTTGATAGGATTTAGAAAGGTTGGTTTGTTTGTTTGGGTTTCTTGTTGGGAAAAAAACATCCTGTTGCCTTAGGACAGAGCTTAGGGTACTTGGATCATAAAACAGCTTTTATGGAAAAAAAACCACAAACCAACCCTATCAGAAGGACTTATGTTGCAATTTTTGTTCCTTTAGAACTTTGCAAAATGTAATTTAAGTTTGACTTTGCATAAGAGAGGGTTGTGCAAAGTATCTCCTCCAGTTAGATAAGTGTTTAGTACTTAAAATAATTTGATGTGATTACAGTTGAGGACTTAGTTATTGTTGAATAATTTTGTTACATATAGTATTTATAAGTTAACTGGTATATTGTATTGCATTGCAACTACATTCTACATTTTTAGGTGGCATAGATATTGCATTGTTTGAATTTCAAGAGGAATATCTTGGGTTTTGTCATTCCAACCCATCACCATTTTTGTGAAGTAGAATGTATCTGATAGAGAAGTTGGTCATCTACAAACTGTGTTGTGACGGCATCTGTTTCACAAAAAGTTTTTGTGGCTCGATTGCTCTGTATAATGGTGTCAGTGTAGTGGGATTTTTGAAGAATTTTTGAAAGGTTTAAAGAACATTCATTTTGATATTCCTTATTTTAGGTTCTATACGTGAAGAAAATGGAATAAGGTGGCACGTTTGTCCATATTGCTCTAAAGAATTTAAAAAACCAAGTGATCTAGTGCGCCACATTCGCATTCATACCCACGAGAAGCCATTCAAGTGTCCCCAGTGTTTCCGCGCCTTTGCAGTTAAGAGTACTCTAACAGCACACATAAAAACACACACTGGCATCAAAGCTTTCAAGTGCCAATTTTGTATGAAAAGCTTTTCCACCTCAGGGAGTTTAAAAGTTCACATTCGTCTACATACAGGTAAGGCTTCAAAATTGCTTCTCTTATTTTCTATGATGTGGGTGAGACCTTGAATGAAAAAAGACAATGTGAAATGTATAAGTTATAGACATGTCTATCGTGTCATTGTTATCTGTCAGAGAATGTATAATTTTTAGTGTCTTAGATGATGAGTAATTTTTTGTCATACCTTTCTAGTGTTTCATATCTTTGAGACTTTGGGCTCTTGCAAAAACCATGAGCATTTGGTTTTCTGGTGATGAGTCAACTGTTGTTCCTTTTTAATATCACTATTGTGAATGTATTTAATTGTGCTTTTTAAAGAGTCATTGTTTTTCATATTTACTCTGCATCTTCCCTCCCCTTCTCTACACTTTTTGATAATTTCACTATATCACTCAGGACTCTTTGGTTACTTCCCATTTTATCTTCAACATTAAGGTGTTGCTTGATGTTTTCACCAACTTACCTTTTTTCAGTATCTTACACTGCATATCCTAAAATTCCTCTGTTCATGTGGTCCTTGTTTCCATCATACATGATGTCCTCAATATCTGTTTTTCTGTGGCTGAATTATTCTCTCCATAGAGAAAAATGAATTTTCTGCATTTGGTGGACTACCTGGTTGTTTTCCACTTTTCTTTCTTCATTCATACAACTGAATAATGTTTCAGCAAGATAAACTCATAAATGCGCTGCTCATTCCTTTCCTTCCTGTTTATGTAATTACCTTCTGCAAAAGTATCATTCATTGACAAGGTGCATTTTGTATTCAATGTGTTTTATAGTTTGATGCATTTAATCCAAAATATCAATGTTCAAATCATCTGCAGAACATTTTTCACTTGTTTTTTTTTTTTGTAAACCTGCAAACCAGCAGGTTTAAACTTCTTGTTTAAAGTCAACCTTCTTTATAGAAGAACTCAGACTCATTCAAAGTGGCAGAAGCACTATGTGGCTTGGAAAATAGGTAGTCCATTGTTTATGGAACTGCTCTGTGGTTTCATATGATGTACTAGTTACTGTATTGTGAAGCACATTTTTGTACATTTTTTCTACCTGTGATTTTATCGAGCTTGCTTTATACTACCCAGTCATGTTTCCTAGCCTTTTTAAGTCACAAGATTTCCCCTTGAACAAAAGCTGACAGTTGTTCAGCCTTGCCTGTCTCTGTAACTTGAGTTCTGCAGTATCCTTTTCAAGGAGAGATTTCTACTGAATTTTGCATTACAAAAATCTTTCTTTAGTAATTCTGGATGGCATGCTTTTTTGACTGCCTTCAAACAGTGTTGACGTTTTCAGAGAACTTTGGTTGGGGTTTAACAATCTGTTTTGAAAACCTATTTAAGAGTAGACCCTGTGATAGAAAACAAGAAAGCAAATACAGAAAAGAGAATCAGTATTCTAAAGCTACATTTCTAAGTTGATGGAAATAAAATCCCAAACTAATTTTTTTTCTTTTTAACTTCTTGCAGGTGTTAGACCTTTTGCTTGTCCTCATTGTGACAAAAAGTTTAGAACATCAGGCCATCGGAAAACTCATATCACTTCACATTTTAAACATACTGAACTAAGAAAGCTACGACATCAACGTAAACCTGCAAAAGTTCGAGTAGGAAAGTCGAGTGGTCCAGTACCAGACATTCCTTTGCAAGAACCCATACTCATAACTGATTTAGGTAAGGAGCAAGTAAATCTGTACTCTCTTGAAATTTGGATTTCACTGGAATATAAAGGTCACAGTTCAATCAAGCAAACATTCAGAGCTTACTCATAAAGGTGCACTTTGAAATAATAAGTAATCAGAAACAGGCTCCAGAAAAGTGCCATATTTTATAGTTTTCTTGCACTAAAATTAATAAGAATATTTTTTGTTTACAGTGAAATTGTATAATCCTTCCTGGAAAAGAAAAAGTGCATTTTTACATTATGAGAAGAATTTAATTTAACTATTATTAGACTGTTGGTATAGAAAAGATGACAGACAGTTCATGACTCAGCTTCTTTGTAACATGATCATGTTTATTGCAGATTACAGATATTGAACCAATGTGTTACATGATTATAGAATGTTTGTTATAATTATGACCTCATCTGAATTAGTGTTATCATTAGTGGTCATACTTCAGAAAGGGCAGAAAAATTCTCAAACCTACTGTGTAGAATTTGTACAGTTACTTTAGTTCTGTTGTAGAATAATTGTCTCAACATTACGTAAACCCACTTTTTAGAAGAAGGTTAGTTGTTGTACAACGGGATCAAGGCAATAGATTGTTGTCCAGTAGAGGTCAATGTAGGGGGCGAGGCATTTACTCTTAGTTGGACCTGTCAGTCTGCGAACTCCTGCCTTACCTGTTGTGTAGTCATCTTTATAGTAGAATTTTATATCAGTGATGTCTTTAGTTTATATTGATAAAATCTTTATCACTCCTTAAAAATACTTTTGCTTCCACTGCTTCCAGGAGTTACTGAAAGCAAGAGTAAGGGTTATTTTGGTATCAGGTATAAGAAATTTGAATTTTTGGGGCGGAAGCAAAACTTAGCTCACTGCTTCAGACACTCCAATCACACAGTAGGATTTACTACAATTCCAAAGACGGAACTAATGGGAGGAAATATACTTTTTTATAGAACATTCCCATTTAGATTTATTTTGCTAACATGTTGTGTCCAGAGTAGCACCAACTGTAACTATTCTAACAGTTCAGAGAAATGTTTCATTTATCTGAGTTGAACAGCTTAAGTAAATCGTTTGGGAGTGTTTTATTAAGAATCAGTTACTTATATAATATAGTTATTTCTGTTTTATTATGTATCTTATTAGAAATTTCTGCAGACCAGAACCACTGTAACCTGGGATATGCTTATAAGTTAGTCAGCTGTTGTTCATTCAAAGAGTTAATTGAATTATTCCGATCTTGTAAGATCAAAAATAAATTTTAGAGTAAATATGATATTTCTTCTGATTTGTAAGACTTGTGTCGTCTCCTGTATACTACTGCTAGTTATCCTTCAACTTAGTCTTTACCCCTTGTCATATCACTACATGCCGTTTAAAGGAAGTCCCTACCCATCTCTCTTGTCCAGCCCTCTTTAGGTACTAAAGGCTGCTATAAAGTCTCCCTGAAACTCTGTCTTCTCCAGCTCTCTCAGCCTGGACATTTAGTAGTGGGAACTTCTAACTGAATTTCCAAAATGACACCTGACTGACTTCAGGGACCAGTGTGTAAAAAGCATTTGTTTAAAAACATTGGTTTGAGGTTTTGGGGTTGGTTTTTTTTAAATATATTTTTGGAAGCACTCAGAGAATTAGCAAGATTGACTGATTAGCCAGAGTAGATGTATAAATACAATAATTTTTAATGGACTGCTTTTGTTGTTTAATTAAGGTCAGGTAATCATGGTGTTTTATACTTTCCATAAAATTCATATTATAATTGTAGTATACATCTGGGATATATTGATTAAATATTACTTGGTTAAGGTAAAGGTTGGAAGAAGAAGATATTATTGAATCAGCAGTGGATTCATATCTGTCCACTTTTTTTAAAGTTAATGCTTATTTTGGACATGGACACTTACTGTAATGAGGTGGACCTCTGGATAAAAGAAGAACTATCACTAAAATAGCATGTGCAGTATAGTATATATAATGCTAAATAGGTGTATGCATAATTTTAAATAAGTGCTGGAGACGTGCACATTGTCTTTATATTTTATATACTAAAACTTTAGTCATTCTTTCGTTGCAAATGCTAGCTCTTCAGGCTACTGCAGCTTTGGAATAACTTCACCAATTAATTTTTCCTTTTTTTGTGTGTGTGTGTTTATGTGTGCAGGTCTTATCCAGCCAATCCCAAGGAATAGCCAGGTCTTCCAAAATTATTTTAACAGTAATTTTGTGAATAATGCAGAGAGACCATACAAGTGTTTTTATTGCCATCGAGCCTATAAAAAATCTTGTCATCTAAAACAACACATCAGGTAAAATAAACACAATGAAGAAAGGAAATGTATGTAATGTGAAGTTTATGGAAAAGCATGAAATTTATATAATGTTCAATGAAAATATTTCTTTTTTCTTACCATCTCTTAAACAGTGAACCAGTGACAATTGATTTTTTTCTGTTAAAGTTGGAGGAAACTTTGAACTAATTCATACCTATGTGTGGTCCTAGCAATGCAGGTGTTTTGTAATTGCATACTCCAGATTGTCTGCTTTGTATGTAACTCCTATTTTTTGAGAATGAAAAATTTAGGTTGGAGGAGAACCAGTGGAGGTACTTAACTAATCCAACCTTCTCTTGAAAAGAAAGGGTAGCTTGAAAATGACATCAAATTGCAGTTTTACAGACAGTGAGCTTTGATGTTCAGTCAAGTTGTGAAACAGTGCTTTCTGATTTATAAACTATGAATACTGAAAGAGAAAAATGAAAAAACTCTCCAAAGATGATCACTAAGGTCTAAGGAAAGATTCTATACAAGCAGGTGGCAATCTACTTGTTTCTGCAATGTAAGGTCAGGACTGCTTTTTTACTTTCCTTAACATGGTGAGTTCCTCATACTCTCCTTACAAATCAAGTTCTCTATTTGTAGGTTCTCAAACAGCCTTGAAACAATTACTGATTTTTCTATGCTGTCTTAACAGAAGGAAGGGAAGCCTTACAATATCACATCTTTTCTTTTGTAATTGTGGATATCTCAGTGTCTTTTATAAACACAATCAAGCTGGATTGATTTAAAGTAGTTCTTAATTATACTGAAGATGCAAAGATGTGATGGGGGTATCTGTCACCTGCTGCTGTGCTGCTTTGATTAATCTTTGCAAGAGCACTGAGTGAAGCATGGCTTTGTTTGGGGTTTCCTGGAGGAATTAGAAACCCCTCTTTTTCCGTGTTTGTTCTTTGTAAATTGGCACTATTACAACTAAACTGCTAGGCTTCATACTCGTGTGGTCACTCTGTCCTCATGGAGTAGTGCTGATCATTGCTTACAAGGCTTGTTTCCCTCTCTGAATTAGAGGGAAATTTGTAGATAGGGGTATTTTCAATAGGTTAGTGACTGAACAGTATGTCACATTATCCACAGGAAGGGTTTGGATACCCTAACACTGCTTTTTATAGTGTATATTGGTAGCAAAACAGTAACTCCACTGCATTTTTTTAACCTGTCTTTCAGTTTGTTTTGTATCTTACTGTAGTCCTAAATGGAAGCTCTTCTAATACCTCTAGGGAAGGATAAAGCAGTGCTATATATTTTGATAGTATAAATGAGAGGCTTTTCCTGCTTGAATATTTTGTCATATGGCGTTATGACAGACCAGTTGTACTGCGCCTTGATCAGGAGATATTCAGGATGGACACGGTTCTTTTCCCAAAAGTTTTGTTATTAAATGTAGTAGTAGTATGTAATATGAGGAGAACCATATATTTTTCTCCAAACTTTTGTGGACAGTTTTTTAGCTGAATTGAGGAAAATACATATGAGTGATAGCTTACTTGAAGAAATACTGTAACATCTGGCATGGAAAAGTTAAACCCCCAAGTGTTTTAATGGAGAAAAAGCATCATCAGTAAAGGAGATTGGACTGTGAAACACAATTAAAACTAGTCAGACAGTATTGATTTTAGACTTGACAAGTTGTTTGTAACTTATTAAAGTTTTAATTTCTGAATTTTCTTAACTGAAGCTTCCTCCATCCATACAACTGTAACCTTCGTTTGGTTTATTTTGCTCACTTTAAAATTTAATCCTTTAATAACTTTGTAAATCAAACTGTTAAATCTTCTGCTTTCTCTTCAAAAGGTCGCATACTGGTGAAAAACCATTTAAGTGCTCTCAGTGTGGAAGAGGTTTTGTGTCAGCTGGAGTTCTGAAAGCACATATTAGAACACACACTGGATTGAAAGCTTTCAAGTGTGTTGTGTGCAACGGGGCCTTCACTACTGGTGGTAGCCTTAGGCGACATATGGGGATCCATAACGATCTTCGGCCGTACATGTGTCCGTATTGTCAAAAGACGTTCAAAACATCACTAAACTGTAAAAAACACATGAAGACTCATAGGTATGTTTCCAGTTTTTACATGTTCAGTAGCCATTCCTTAAAGATACTTGGAAAGGCAGCTTTGCTCTGTAACAAATGCATATATTTGAATATCAATGTTTATTTATGGGTAGCAAACACATAGGTACCTTTGAAGGTATAGTAAATTATGATGTATAATAAAAATAATAAATTGTTCACATAAATAGTTATGGTAAGTGTCTAACTGAAACCACAAAAAGGCTTTCTTACCTTTCTTTGCAGATATGAACTTGCACAGCAACTTCAGCAGAATCAGCAGTCCTCTTCAATAGATGATTCTACAGTAGATCAGCAGAGCATTCATGTTTCTACACAGATGCAAGTGGAGATTCAAAGTGAAGAGCTACAGCAGTCAGAAGCTGTTGCAACAGATCAGCAGGCTATTTTAGAGTTAGACCAGCAACCAGTAGTAGGCACAGAAGAAACAGCACTAGAACAACAGTTGGCTGATCAGCCTTTAGAGCAAGATGAGGGTGAGTATTTGAAATACAATAACATTTATAATGAGGTAAGTTTACAAGTTCTCAAATAATTGTTTCTTGACATATTTCAGTGCTTTAGTTTTCAAGACAATGTAAGTAGACAACTAGAAAAATAAATGAAGTAAAGGCTAGCTACTTAAAGTATATGGTACAATTCCTTTCATTAATTGCTGTTTAGGTTTACTGTGTAAATGTAAAAAGATTGTTTAAGATTTGCACATTCTTTAGTAGTAGCAAACAAAACTACTAAACAAATATACAGAAAAAATCATACAAAACTTCACCACATCAACTCTTATTAATAAAAAGCACTTCTGTATAGTCTACTTAGAAAGTATTACCTGTGTTTTGAGGTGAGAGAATATGAAATATTTATTGTACTTACTCATTATAGTGAAACAAAGTATTTTGGTTTTGCTTATTTGCTCTTTTTCATGGTGTAACGAGTTAGAAAGTACAACAGGGGAATGTAAATAAAGTATATTATAACCCAAGATTTAAATAGCTGTTCAGCTCATAATTTTTTAGCTTCTTTTTAATCCAGTGACAAATTCAGTTACTGTAAAGTATACGGATTTGGAAACAACTGAAACATGCAGTTATTTACGTCTTCTTTTCTTGATATTTTTCTTTTTTCTTTTCTCCTCCCACCTTCTCCCCTTCCCTTTCCCATTTCAGATAGATTTGTGACATCCCAACATGCTTTACAGGAAAACATCACTCAGTTTGAACAACAGGCTATAACACAGCAGCCATTTGATCAACAGAGCTTATCACAAGGTTAGTAATCAATATAAGTTTTTAAAAAGTAATTTTTATAAATCTAACTTTTCATCACAGTTATGATAAAACCTTTCTAAAGTGAGCATCTGCAGTCAGAGTAACTGCAACACAGAGGACTTGCAAAAAATTTACTGTTTTGTAGCTATACTTGATAGAATATTTTGAATACTTAAATATAGATTCTACTTTTATGAGCCGATGTCTAGTCATTATAGTATGGGTTTTATAGTCAGGCACTTAATATTCTTTCTTTGATTGTATTTGAAATTGCTGTGGCATTAGGCAGTTTACACAAATTTCCCCCTAAACATGCATACTCATAACGTGAAATTATCAGAAACACAGTAAGATTTGACTGAGTAGCTGTTTGGGTTCATTTTGGAAAAAGATAGTGCAAAATAGCGTCATGTAAAAAATCATACTTTCACCTATCCACAACAGTTTTGTTTTATATTTTATAGAACAATCATAGAATCATAGAATTAACTGGGTTGGAAGAGACCTTCGAGATCATCAAGTCCAACCCTTGATCCAACCCCACAGTGATTACTAGATCATGGCACTCAGTGCCACATCCAGCCTCATCTTAAAAACCTCCAGGGATGGTGAATCCACCACCTCTCTGGGCAGGCCATTCCAATGCCTGATCACTCTCTCTGTAAAGAACTTCTTTCTAATATCCAACCTAAACCTCCCCTTAAGCCCGTGCCCTCTTGTCCTATTGCTGATTGCCTGGGAGAAGAGACCAAACCCCACCTGGCTACAACCTCCTTTCAGGGAGTTGTAGAGAGTGATGAGGTCACCCCTGAGCCTCCTCTTTCCCAGATTAAACAACCCTAGCTCCCTCAGCCTCTCCTCGTAGGACTTGTGTTCAAGTCCCTTCACCAGCCTCGCTGCTCTTCTCTGGACCTGCTCCAGCCCCTCAATATCCTTCCTGAACTGAGGGTCCAAGAACTGAACACAATACTCAAGTACTGAGTACAGGGGAAGGATCACTTCCTTCGCTCCTGCTGGCCACACTGTTCTTGATGCAGACCAGGATGCCATTGGCCTTCTTGGCCACCTGGGCACACTGCTGGCTCATGTTCAGCTTCCTGTCAATCAGCAACCCCGGATCCCTTTCCACCTGGCTGCTCTCCAGCCACTCTGTGCCCAGCCTGTAGCGCTGCAGGGGGTTGTTGTGGCCAAAGTGCAGGACTCAGCACTTGACCTTGTTGAATTTCATCCCGTTGGAATGTAAGTAACAAATTAAGAGATTGGAAGCATTTGAAAACTTTTTTTTCCTATAAAATACAAAGAAATGTGTAAGGCTTATGTAGCCTGCAAATAATGAAGAAGTGACTGCCTTTGTTAGCTTTTTAAAGCTGGATTTCTTGAATTGTTGTTTAATATGAAACTACTAATTTTGTTTGGATGTGTTTTGAGGTTTTTTTAGTGGTTGGAGTTTTTTGAGGAGGGGGTGGCACGTGGAGTTCCTTGCATGGGGAATGTTCAAGGGGTTTTCATTTATTTTGAGCATACCTCCCTGGCTGACCAGTTGATCTCTTCCTCCTTATTTCTGACTCAAGGAAATTACTTTCTGTAACTGGTAAAGAGTAATTTGTATTCCATCTGCACAAACTTACCTTTTCTTAGTTTCATTTTAACTTTAAGTTTTATAGCGTCTTTTGTAAAAACTTAATTGACTTTGGTAAGTTGCATGACACTGTGAGAAATAGCATAATTTTCTGATTTTAATTCTCTAGGTTGTGCTGCTTTGTATGTAAAGAAAAAAAAATAAAGTCTCCACCTTTATTAAACAAGAACTGATCCAGGTCCTCTTAAAATGCTATGATGATTTTCATTGGTTACCTTTTACAGTTTTCCAAATGAATGAAAAGAGACTACAGAAAAAAAGTGCAACCTTTATGTTAATCTGAAGAGTGGTGGTGGGGTTTGTTTGCTTATTAGTGACTCCTTTGAATTTGAAAACCCAACATGTAAACATTGATCTTATTTAAACTTCAGTTTCTATGTATGTGTATCTTCTCTATTAAATAAATATTGAATGATTTCTTGGGGAGGAGAGACTCTTCTAGAACTCACAAAACAATTCTTTCATCGTCAGAAATCCAGACTGATCATCGGTACATTGTAGAATTGGTACAGAGAATCAGAACATTTGTGGTGTGGGCTTTTTAAAGTCTCATTTGTATAAGATGTCTCCTGTTCTACTTGGAATCTCATCCACAGATTCCCAACTCTTTGAAGTTTCCTTGAAGATCCTGGAGCCCTTCAAAATTTTTGAATTTCAGGTAGGTAAGCATTTGCGCGGATGCATGCGTTAAATTGGTCGACCCTCTCCCTATGTCTGCATCTGTGCTTCATGCTCCTAATTTCTTTTTCCTATCAGCTAGGCCGAACACTAAAGCTTAAAACACTGTGTCTTTTTTATCCTTGGTATTTATAGGCTGTGTTCTTGTTAAAATATTTGGTTCAGTGTTTATTAATAAAACAATGTAGGAGTTATAAAACCTATCTTTGATAGGTTTTTTGATTTCTCTTTTTATTTTTTTTTTAAGAAAAAAAAATCTTAGCATTTCAGCCAGATGAGACTGATTGCTAGGTCTGCACAGACCTGCCAGAACTTTGTTTATTCTTTCAGGTTTGTTTGTAATACTTCTGATTTTCTGGTTTGTTCAGATAGGTTTTCTTCTTGATGTGTTCAGACTTGTAAAGAAGTGCAGATCCTATGAGGGTGCTGCTGTATATGATAATCTATGATTCATATCAGCTAGATTTGACAACTGAGGAAAAGGACTTGTGTCCTTGGTAGTTTATGTGTTCAGGCATCTTCATTTGAAGACTTTTTGGTGATGTCAGAAGAATCAAGTGTATCTTTTATATGAGATTGGTTTGGGGTTATTGAATAATATCTATCACCAAATGTGTTTTCATATAAATTATATCACCTTTTCTTCCTTTAAAGTCTCCCTGTAGGCATGGTCGAATGACAATTCAAATAGTAGTGATAGGTGAGTGACCTTGCAAAACTGCAAGAAGTCCAGATGCTTCCAAATGTTATTCTGTAGCCCATAGAAATATACCCTTGCCACCAGACTGCTTTTTGCTTTCCTAAGAAGTTGATCTGCAATCTCAGGACTTGGAATTCTGATTTTTCAGTAACTATTTACACGTTGGTTCCAGTCAGTACTGTTCAGCTGGTTGCAGAAGTTGCTTAAGAAGCAAACCTGCAGAACATTTGATTGCTAGGCACTGGTCTCTGCTGAGATGCACATGTGCATGTTGATGTTTGTAATGTTAGAATTCGAATGATCTGTCAGTAAAGACTTGAAGTTTGTCTAAACTAAAATATTGTGTTTCCTATGAGTAACATGCTGTTGTTTTACCTCATTGTCATGTGCAAGACACGACTTTCCAGTAGTAAACTGATTTCTGGAGTATTCTATTTTTCAATATGTTTTGTTAATATAGAAGACAATAGGTTGGGTGATGTCTGAAAGCCAAAAAACCCCAAGCGACATAAATGATTACTTGTACTGAAAAATACAAAATGCAATTCCAACCTTAGAAGGCTTTGAAGTAAGAGACTCCCTTTATTATACAGAGCTTCAGATGTTCTCTGTTCTTTGAAGATCGATCAAAAGCTTCAGGGAAACAATATATAGTGATGAAAACAAGAGCAGAAAAGTAAAGGTTGTGAAATTTATTTCTCTCTCAGACTGAATGTCTGATTTTTGGTGTTTGGTGGTGTGGGGTATTTTAATGCTGTTCTGTAGAAGTAGTATGGTGGTAGCAAATGCCTTTGAGCATGCTAAAGTTGTCAGATCTTTTTTGAGTGGAAAATGACCTTCATGTTAGGTTTTTGGCAAAATGGGGATGCATCAGATATTTGTTACAGATTCTTGTTACAGCTTTGGTCCATATTTATTTCAGAACTAATTTCAGAAATAGTATTTCTTCAGTTTGTCCTCAAATACCTCTACATTCAGAGCTTTTTTTACTGAGCATTTTGTTGCATAATCCTGGGAAATTTTTCAGGATGTCAATAATTGCTTTTATTTAAACACAGTGAAGCAAAACAGGTCATGGTATAGTAACCTCTGTTTTCCTTCTTAGCTAGTAGAATTTACCTGCCAATTAAGAAAGGAGTTTCATTTTTTTTTTTAGGTAGCTGTTTCTTTGTGCATTTAATAGTTACGTTCCTTTTTATTTTATGTAGGGCATGGAAGTGACATCACTTTGCTTTAGTTTCTTTAGTATTGGGGTTTTTTGTATTCTCATCCAGTGTAGTGGGAATGCCATTTTTCTATAAAGATACTTATAAAATTTATTTGAAAAGTATAAATTAGTGCACAACTTTTCATTGCTGTTCTTCAGGCTACTTTTTAATTTTGTCATTTCGCTAAATAATTGAGATGCAAGGTTCAGCTTGTTGAATCTTTCTTTTACTTGTAATCTTGTAGGATTACAAGTTGTAGTAGAGAAAATTACATGGAAATTGCAACGTTAGATTTGGTGTCAAGTTATGACCTAATAATGCTTTCAAGATCTGTTTATGTTTGTGGGTTTTCATTCTATGGTGAAAGCAATACCATATTGGGTTTCATATACATATAGAGTAGAGCTTTTTCCTGTACTGATTACAGTATTCTTCTGCTGAGGAAAGGGTCTTTTGGGAAAATTTCTGCTTAAACTTAACACATCCAAGTTTTTGTTATACTGTAATTCAAAACATTCTTTAAGTATTGCTTTTTGGCCTTTGATGCTGTGGTCTTCTGATGTGGGTTTGTTTCTACCTTTTTTTCATAATCTTCACCCTTTTTGTCCACTAAAGGCAAACTGCACAGAAGTACTAAAATTGTTGCCCAATTACCTTAATTACTGATACTTATGGTTTCATTTTTTTCCACATTACATTGTGGGTTGTTTTTTTAGAAGCGTTAGGACTTAAAAGGGTTGATAAAAGGACATCTCTAATAGCATTAAAAAAATACTGCAATCTGAGCTATATTTCCCTGGCTCTGAATCACTGATGCTATCATTTCATTCATTCATTTAGAAAAGGAGGTAATTAAGATCTGGTATTTCAGGAGAACACAACCAAATAAAAATTTCAGGTCTTTTTACTGAAAATGTGAATAAAAATATGTTTATTTTTTACTTTGCAGTTTGCCTTTGAGAGGCTCTACTTTACTATTATCTAAAGAGTGGGAATATGTGGAGGAGATCCAAAGTAGGAGAAAATGGGGTTACTTAATCAGAAACTGGAGTTCTCCTATTGGGTCATCTCCTCCACTCACCCGCCATCCTCCCCACTGAGCTTTGCATCCTTGTGATCGGCTTCCAGTGTAGTTAAGGGAGCGTGGTACCAACGTGGATAAAGGGAGATGGGTCAACCTGTTTGACACATGCATGCTTACATACAAGAAATTCAAAATTTCAATGGCTCTAAGGTAATTGTGGCACTCCGAAGAAACTTCAAACAGTGTTTTTCTGTGGAGGAGATTTTCCAATAGAATTCCAGCTAATGGTAAGTAACCCTATTATGCATATTACATAGATGCCAGAAACATTTGTGGTTTTGACACTCAACAGTGAAGAGTACAAGTATTACTATGTAGTAATACTACTTAACTTCTTTTGAAGGTAGTTTTCAGAGAAGTGTGGTGTTATTCAAAGCCCAATTCAGTGTATTTTCCAGGTTTGTGACTGTTTAATTTCTGGCAGGTTTTACAGTGAATGACAGCTACAATCAACAGACTCAGTTTCCAGCTGTACAGCAGCTGCAGGATTCAAGCACACTTGAATCTCAGGCTCTTTCAACGAGTTACCACCCACCAGCCCTTCTTCAGGTTCCAAATACAGACACTATTAATGTAGTAAGTACTGCTAGAAGGCAGGCTTCATTGTTTTGTGTTCAGTGGTGAGTTTCTTTGCACCATTTCATTGGTGATAAGTAAAATAAGAAGTCAGAAAAGTTTCAGGATTTCTTTTCTAAATTGCTTATGTTTAACAACTGGAAAACAGAATGGTGGGGAGAGGATAAGTGACCTGACTACATGTTGCTAAAAAAGGAATTGTATGTTTTGGTGTTCTAGACTTGAAAAAAGATATAATACTGTAAAGTTGGATTGCAATGTTAAAACTCAGGAAAGGACACAAAGTTAGAAAATAATTGTACATTTTCACACTATCTTATGTCTTTATTTCTTTGATATGCAGTTTAAATACAACTTTTTATGATAGTAGCAGCACCTAGAATGAAGGCCATCTGTCATAGTATACTTACCATGATGATCTTCGTGAGTTATTGTCTCTTCAAACTTGTTTGCAAATTGCAAATGTCAATCAGAGAACTAAAGTGGGGTTTAGGATCTAGAAGAGTTTGAGTAATTTCAACCTACAGGCTTTGAAATTTCCTTCTCTTCAAATCTTAAAACATGCTGTTGTTTTTAAGGATTATTCTGTGATGGCTTTTACTTACGGGAATGTTCAAGAAGTAGCAAAGTCTGTCAGCAACACTGTGTTTTGCTAGTCAGGTGTTTAAAATGGCTGCTCTAGTTTTAAATTTAACTCCTCCAACACTAGAAAATCTAGACAAGTTAGATACATTTTTGTGTAGATTCAGAGAAGTATAAATGCACCACGTTGTCTCTTTATTCTGATACAGTAGGTGAACATTTTGGTGCTTTCCTTCTCACTATGAAAGAGCAAGGTATCATATAGAGTTCTTAATTTCTTGTCAAAATTTATGAAAGCATAAATTTGACTACTTGTATTGACTATAAATGCTTTAAATTTTCTCTTGCCTATTTGTGTGATTTCAGTATCGTGTTATTAAAATTTACTTGAGGCTTTGATTTTTAGACTACTCGCTTGATACAAGATCAGTCACCGCAAGAAGAACTTGAATTGCATACCCAGCGGCCTCATTTTCTTGAGGATAATGAAGATCAAAGTAGGCGTTCATATAGGTTTGTTATACTTCTAGGTTTTGTTACAGAATTTCCTGAATCTTCTATGGTTAGTAATTGTATACAACTAATGAAAACAATTTTCTTCTAACAGGTGTGAATATTGCAACAAAGGTTTTAAGAAATCCAGCCATTTGAAACAACATGTACGGTCACATACTGGTGAGAAACCTTATAAATGCCAACTCTGTGGACGTGGTTTTGTTTCCTCAGGAGTTCTTAAGTCACATGAGAAGACTCATACAGGTAACAGAGTATACCAACTCTGTATTAGCTTAACCCATATTTGGGTTTTGTAAATGTCCTGTGTAAGCAAACTTAAACAAATAGCATGCTACTTATTTGTTTCTGTTACTTTAAGGAGTTAAAGCATTCAGCTGTAGCATTTGCAATACCTCCTTCACAACTAATGGCAGCCTTACCAGGCACATGGCAACTCACATGAGCATGAAGCCTTACAAGTGCCCATTCTGTGATGAAAGCTTTCGAACAACTGTTCACTGCAAAAAACATATGAAAAAACATCAGACAGTCTCCTCAGCTGTAGCAGCAGCTACAGATACAGGAGGGGGAGGTAAATTATTTCACTTTTACTTTTACAGTCTTACTCCATAAGAAGTACAGATGTTTTGGTGGATTACATGAGTGCTGTAACAGTAATGTTACAAAATAGCCTTCCAGCATGGATAATGTCTGATGTCCAGAGCTGCTAAAATTGCTGTGTTATCTAAATTGTTTAAAGAAATGTTTTCGAGGATCTGTCCAGGGTATTTAAGGTACTGTATGTGACATAGTTACTTTAGTATGTCTCCAAAGTAGAAAATTTTTTTGTCCTAAATTACTTATACCTGTGTTAGTTATTGTAAAAATAAGACTTAGAAATTCAGTTTTTTTTAAATGAAGTACAGACATGAGTAATTAGACCTCTGAAAGAAATGAAAGTCTGAGCACGTAATGTAGTGGCCATGTGTTTAATAATAAACCCTTCTATTTTTTTAATTTCAGCTGATAGATTAAACTAAACAGATACATGTTTTTTGGTTTAGTTTGATTTTTTGTTTTGCTTTTTCTTTTTTTTCCTTAAAAGTTGCATGTGTTGAAGAAGATGATGAAAACTCTGAAAGAACTTCCAGAAAATCTCGTCCTGGTGTCATAACTTTTACAGAAGAAGAAACAGCAGAACTGGCAAAGATTAGGCCTCAAGAAAGTGCCACTGTCTCAGAAAAAGTTCTTGTCCAGTCTGCTGCAGAGAAAGACAGAATTAGTGAGATCAAAGATAAGCAAGCAGAACTGGAAGCAGAACCCAAATATGCCAACTGTTGTAGTTATTGTCCCAAAAGCTTTAAAAAACCTAGTGATTTGGTCAGGTAAGGAATAAAAAAGTTTTGTGTGTTTCTGATTTGCTAAATTGTTCACCAGAATCCTAAGCAATAATAGTTTCATATAACCCTTTATGCCTAATGTTGAAGTTTGACTCATGTTTACATAATGTCAAAATATAAAATACATTTTCTGAATATGACTAACACAGCCTTTTCATATTTATTTTTTTGCAGTATTGAAATTATTATTATGAAGTTTTTGAATAAATTATTTATATGACCTGCATATAAAAGATGTAAAAATCAGTTGGGGGAAAAAAAGGCAAATACTTAAATGTTCTTTACTTGTCCTGCTTAGTGTAATGATAGTATAAGTATTTAATTAATTCTAAAATTAGTAAGTTAGAAAATAAATATTTTTGCAAACTGACATGAAAGTAGAAATTCACATGTACATGTATTCTGGAATTGTTAGGCATGTTCGTATCCATACTGGAGAGAAGCCGTATAAGTGTGAAGAATGTGGAAAGAGTTTCACTGTAAAATCCACTCTGGATTGCCATGTTAAAACACACACAGGTCAGTAAGATTTTGAATGTCTGTGTTTAGAAACTGATTACTTTCTTGACCAGCTGTTTTAAGTGCAGATTTTGCAAGGAATGGTATGTTTCACTGGGATTTAGCACATGGCACTGTGAATGGCAGCAGTCAGTGATATTTGGTTCTTATGGCATTGTCAAATTAATCATATTAGGACATATTGAATAAACCATATTATTACAGACTTGCCTATTAGTAGGCTTCTAAAGTAGTCATACTCTTAGCTCATGCAAAAACCATGTATGCAAGTATCCATAACATTTTCACATCAAATCTTCTGTGGCATTTCGATAATAAATGATTTTCCTGAGCAAGAAGATGGAGTCGGAGGATTTTATAAAATTAAGCTGAGGAAAAAAATTATTAATGTTTGTGCTGCTAAGTAAATTGAAAAATAAGAGTACAAAAACTTTGAGCATTCAGCTGTTTGAATCATGCAAGTTGAATATAAACCTAGTATCTGTAACATTTAGGTTTTTACAGTAATTTCTTTGTGTTCCTGAGAGAGGCCTGATTTTAACAGAGATATTTTTCAACTCTAATTTTGTGTTAATTAAAAAAACCCTCTAAATCTTTTGTACTTGTTTTCTTCTTGCCATTGAACTTCTGGAATAAACCCAATCCTGAACTAATTAATTTCTAAAACTGGTTTCAGTTTCATTAAGCTCCATTATTATCTCTTTTCAAAAGTACAAAAGACAAGATAGAAAGCTTTTAATGCTATAATACATAATTATTTTACTCATGGAAACTCCCTCTCCAATGCACTGTATTTGTATTTTCTTCTGTTGTTTAGTAAGAAATACTACTTATGTGTTACATCAGATCGTCATGTAGATTAGTGTCTTGTCTCAGACAGTAGCAGATAGTAAAGATAATCAAAAGAACAAAGCAGGGATTTGGTCATGTATGTTCAAGTTCAAGCAGTTGGAAAGTTGTGGGACTTAACTCTTTGTTCTCTGCCTTTAATGGAATATTTTACATTAGATTATCCAGAGTCAGGTAATAACCTCCTTTACTATTTAAATAACAGGACTTCAGATGTTCAGTTTGCTCTTTTCTGCTTAGTTTTTTTTGTTTGCTTCTCTCTTGCTTTTTGTTTTTTTTGTTTCCCCATTCTCCCAATGGGTGGGATTTTTTTTTAGTGAGAAAGGCTGCTAGATGGCTTCCTTTGTGGCACTCTGAATGTGGTAGACAGCTTTTCAGCAGCCCAGATTCCCACTGTCTTACTGGCTCATGTTATTGGACTCTTTTCCGTTATTTGAATCAGAACACTGTCAGAGATTTACTTAGTTTTGATGAAGAAAAAGGGACGACAGTGCCAAGGTTTTGTAATCTAAATCTGTAATTCGAAGTAGGTTGAATTGAGTTCAGGAATTTGGTGAGAGATTCTTCTGTGTAAATGGAAACTAGAACTCAATACCAGGAATCATAGGCACACATTGGTTTTGTGATTTCTTTATGGAATGCGTTGATTTCTTTCCCTTGTTTAGCTAGGAAGAAATATTGTGCTGGAAGGCCTGGGAATTTCAGGAATTGTAGGGAGTTTCCAGCTGCAGTGGCATGTTTTCTGCCAGATATTTACGTTATGGTTTATGTGAATTGTACAATTGTGGATTTGGTTAAGGAAATAAACTCCATAGTTTACTCTTACTTGCATTACATTAAAAGTTGCATTTGAGACTAAAGATTTTTTCAGATGTTATGCAATCTGAGAGAGGACGAGAAGGTCTGTATATGTATAGGCCAGATTTCTGTACTTCTAGATTACTTTGAGGAACTGGTATTTTGTTTTACAATGTTATCACATAATTTTATTAATTTCCTACCTGTAGTCAATTAATTCTAGTCAGTATTGAGGCAGAAGAGTAAAGCTGCTGGAATTAAAAAGGAAATTAAGGCAAATGCTGAAGAGGTTGAGATAAAACTTTTAATTCTCTGGTTTATGGACTGTGTAGTTGAAACAACTGGATTAGTCAGGAAGGTGAGATGAGGAGGAGGACAGAGGCATGAAGGTGACCAAGTATGATTCTACATGAAAGCTTTCACAGCATATTGAGTTTTAATAATGGGAAAAAATTAATATGCCCTTCATTGAGGTCCTTAATTCATTTGAAAAGCAGCCAAAATTATGAAGAAAAAGTCCAGTTACTTCAAATTTATTCTGTTCCGATTAGTCCAGAATATGTTGGGGGGTTTTGTTAAATAGATGATTTAGTGCTATCAATATTTTAGAGATTTTATAACTTACCTTTCTGGTTTTGAAACTTTTCCAGGCCAGAAGCTTTTCTGTTGTCACGTGTGCAGTAATTCTTTTTCTACAAAAGGGAGTCTAAAAGTCCACATGCGTCTGCATACAGGAGCAAAGCCCTTCAAATGTCCACACTGTGATTTACGGTTTCGTACTTCGGGGCGCAGAAAAACCCACATACAGTGTCATTATAAACCAGAGACAAAGAAAGTTAGGAAGCCTGTTGCCCGTACATCAACTGAGGGACTACAGCCAGTCAACCTTCTTAATTCATCCTCTACAGACCCTAATGTTTTCATCATGAATAACTCCGTTTTGACGAGTCAGTTTGATCAAAATTTACTTCAGCAAGGACTTGTGGGCCAGGCTATTCTGCCTGCTTCAGTGTCAGGTAAAAATGGATGGCGTGGTGGTGGTGGTGTTGAGATCAAGTTCTGAACTTTGCTTTCTGTTAGAGTTCAGAAAGTTATGCCAAACACTGCTTGCCAAACAGGTAAGAGCTGTACTGAATTCACAGTACGATTCACAGTGGTGACATAAATAGAAATTTATTTATTTAAGAACTAAGGGGAAAATGTATACCTACAAAGTGTTCACCTAGAAGGATTTCTTTATTTCTGCTGTGGTGTTGCACTGCAGAGAGGAAGAAAATTCAGATAGCAAATAGCTCGGAAGTACTTTTATTCCTTTAGGTAATACTCTGTTGCTTTCTTAAAAAAAAAAACAAAACAACAAACAAAACAAAACAGTTATTCTGTTTCTCTGCACCAGTTATTTACGTGAATAATGAAGTCTTACCCATTAGTCGTGACTACAACTGCATTAGCACATTAAATGTGCCACAGATCATTCTTTGAAACCAACTGACAGAGAATACCCAATATACTTCATGTTGCAAGGAAATGACCTTTTGATAATGATCCTTGCTAACTTCTAAATTGTTTTCAGGTATTGTTTGTATAAGTGTTCACTGACACAGTTTAAGTGCTCAAGTAAACTTGGGACAGAGGCGATTTTAAGAGCAGAGTAGTGTTCAGGTGTCTGGAAATGTGCCCTGGTATTGTTAAATGTATTACTTGAATTGTGGGCCTCAGACTGTCATTTCTGAAAGTGAGACTTTGATTTTCTGTACTTCTTTGGCACTTTTTTCGGTACATGTTTGATTTTGCAGGTATACCCAGAAGTTCAGAGTATTGTATCAGTCTTGTATTTAACTGTAGCCACTCCAGCTTATCTGATTTGACCCAAACTGCTGTCAAAAACTAACAAACTTGTAGTTTTTTCAGAAAATACTGATGTTATTTGACAGGCAGAGTTAGTGGTAAATTCGTGATTAAAAACTGACTTGGATTTTTGATTGAACACAGTAAGGAGGAATGTTTAGCATGTTCAGATGTCCTAGAAGGAGACCTTCTTAAATTTAGATTAATAATGTGGGTTTTGCCCAGAGCAGGTATTTTTTGAGTGCATTGTAAAGCAGATTTATTATACCAAAGAATTTCATAGAGGAAGGGATTGATGTTTTTGAAGCATCAACCAAAGAAAACGGATTGATAACACTCAAGGTGTTTGGAAAAGAAGGTATGTCAAACAGAAAATGATTTTTTCCTTGTATTTTCTCAAGACCTTTTGTAGAGGTGGTCTGTTCAGCTTTTGAAATTAGAACCTTTCAAACTTCTAAAGATTTTTGGGTTTTAAGTGCTTACATACCTTTATTTCCATCTGTGTAAGTACATAGGATGAGCTTTGATACTGAACAACATTTGTGCTATGCAAAATGTGGCAGTAGCTTTCATGTGTATATTCAGAGTCAGAATGTAAATATCACGTGTGAGTGCTGCTGTGTTTAGGTGAGCACACTCTCCAACGAAATTTATACCAAATTTCTCCAGGTTTCCAAAGCTATTCTGGAGGAGTTCTTGCTTTGTAAGATGCTAGCTAGTTGTTAAGTAACAATCCTTAAATCACACTGAATTTATGAAGCTTTAAAACAGGCAATCATCTACTTCAAATTGTTTTTCTTGGCATAAATAAATGTTGTCTATGTAGCTCTTGTCTTGATTTAATTTATAAAAATAAACAAGCTAAAAGAGGTAGCCAATAATGATAAATGAAAACATTATAATATAACTGTTTTCTTTGGTAGCTGGAGGTGACTTAACTGTGTCCTTGACAGATGGTAGCTTGGCCACTCTTGAAGGAATACAGCTACAACTTGCTGCTAATCTGGTTGGACAAAATGTTCAAATTTCTGGAATAGATACCACCAGTATTAACAACATAACATTACAGGTAGGTTTCTTACAGTTTCTTCATTTTAATTTTATGGAGTCACTTTGAGGCCTGAAGAAAGTTTAAGAAGCATACATAATTCTGGAAGAGTTCTCTTGAGTGAGGCACATGGCAATACCTTGCTGTATGAGTTGTACAACGTTAGAAGCTACACAGTGGGGTATTTTTCTGGTTTGATTTCTTTCTTTTTAATTTTTTTTTTTTTTTTTTTACTCCTCTGGAATTTTGGCATATTGCTTTAAAATATGGCTTTTTTTTCTTTTAATTGCATTTTGTCTTTTCACTCTGAAAGTATTTTAGGCTCACACCCAACTTCCAGAAGACATTCCCACCCCAATCCCCCGAAACAAGCCCATATTGTAGAGAATAAGACACCTGTGTAACTTTGCAAGCTTTTAATAGTTGGATTCAAAATTGAAATTCCTATTGAGGTTGTAAAAGGAACAGCAGAAGAAAGATGAGATGATTACATTTAAAAACTTATATTTGAAAGATGTGAAACAATGAATTTTATGAACTTCGTTGTGTTTGATTAGTTTTACAGAATCACTGAGATTGGAGGAAACCTCTAGAGGTCACCAGGTACAACCCTAAGGTTAGGGAAGGGCCATCTGCAGAGTTGTATTGAGTTACTCAGAGTCTCTCTACACAAGGGATTTTTAGCATAAAATGAAGGCATTTTAATTTTTTTCTCAATCACTAAATGTCCATGAAGAGTAAAATCTGTCTTTAGCTATAGAGAACAACAGTTGGATTTTGAATTGGGACCTTAATGAACCCTAGTAGCTGGAAAAAAATAATTTCTGGTATCTCTCTGCTCTCTGTGCCTTTTCACTTTCAACAACTTGAAGACAATGATAAGCATTACATGCACTAATAAGACAGTACAGAATACCAGTGGTGTGCCTACCTGGTGCCTTCCATCCTAATATATAACTAACATGAGGATTTCTCAAACATTTTACTGAGAGAAGAATGAATACAGGTGAATCTGAATTGACTGGATACTTAGTGATTTCAGACACTGACTATACGCTGACAGATAAAAGATAAATTTAAGTTTAAAATGGTTAATTATAAAGTTTAAGAACTATATATAGTCTTTATGCAATAAATATGAATTCTGGATTTATGTTAAGAATATTCATTTTAACCTATCTGTTTTAACTTCAAATTGATCATTGAAACTTGTTTTTCAGATCGATCCCAGTATTCTACAGCAGACGTTGCAGCAGAGTAATTTACTTACTCAGCAGCTGACTGGAGATCCCAATATGGCTCCACAGAATCCCTCCCTCCAGGCAACAGAAAGTGCAGTGCCAGCTAATGTGGTTATTCAGCCCATATCAGGCCTGTCTTTGCAGCCCACGGTAACATCATCTGCTAACATGACAATAGGATCCCTGTCTGAGCAGGAGTCTGTGCTGACAACCAGCGCAAATGGTGAGCAGTGTCAATAGTTTTATTGTGCTTTGAATTTCTTAGTTTTATTTGTGGTATTACCCACAGTGAGAAAATATCACCCCCCCTTTGCAAACCCCCCCTGCTAAATACCTCATTTAATTTAGTAAAATAAACATGCAGTTCTTGCATGAGCATCTTCAAGAAATTTTACAGCTTTATGTGTTACCCTTTTCTAATATATTTTTTTTCAGAAGGTGGATTAAAGAGTAGGTTTATATTAGATATTAATTAGGAAAAAATTCTTTACTCTGAGTGTGGTGAGGAACTGGAACAGGTTGCCTAGAGAAGTTGTGGATTTCTGTCTCTGCAAGTGTTCAAAACCAGGCTGGATGGAGCTCTGAGCAACCTGGTCTAGTGAAAAGTGTTGCTGTCCACAGCAGGGGGGGTTGAAACTAGATGATTTTTAAGGTCCCTTCCAACCCAGGCCATTCTATGATTCTGTGTAATGAAAATACTTAAGAACTTCCAAAGTCCTAAGAAAAATACAAGATCTTTGTTCTGAAAATCTTCACTGCAGAGGAATAAATTGGATATGAAAATTTATCCTTTTGAATGCAAGTTTTAGCATGTCCCCTTGGCTACATCATTTATTGTGTTTCAGAAAATAATGCTTGAAAAGGTTTTGTCTATTACAATGAAAGGCTCTTCATGGATTTTTTTTTTTGTTCTACCCCTTATATTTAGGTGCACAGGACATTTCTCAAGTCATAACTTCACAGGGTATGGTGTCATCTTCAAATGGACAACATGAGATAATGTTGACCATAAATAACTCCAGTTTGAGTCAAGTTTTAGCTCATGCTTCAGGCTCTACTAATGCGACCTCATCAGGAAGTCCTCAAGAAATCACTCTTACGATATCTGGTTGGTATCTTTAAAAATCTTTTATGGTACCAGATCCCTATTTTATAAGGTAACATTTGAAGATAGTTAAAAAAATGATCATGAATGTTCACTCATCAAAGAAAAATGTTGTCCAACAACTGATAGATTTGGTTTTTGGCTTCTGTGTTCCAGTTTTCATGTTCTGTGCTTGTTGACCATCAAACAAAATTAACACCATGTTAAGTGATGTCTTTACAAGACTTCTTCAATGCAATTTATTATCCATGTAGTAGATCAAAAAAGTCACACTTTAACCACATTTGGCCCTTGGTTTACTGGATTTTTACTGTTTCATGAAGTTGGTATCTTGAATCTAGATAAGCAAGATCCATATTTGTCTAAATATTAATAATCTCAGGTATTTTTTTAAATCTTGGTATCTAAATTTGCATAATCATATGTATATTAGAAACTTGTTGCACCTGTGCATAAAAATCTGCATTTGTAGAAAATAATTTTATGTTTTGGTTGTATTTACTACCTTTATTATTTTATGATCTATTATTTTAGTTCCAAGAACAGTAGCAGAATAATGTTGTGACATTTCCAGTTATAATAGGACTAATTTCTATTCAGGCCAAGATCTTATTCAGCATAATTCTGGAGGCAGTGATCTGAATACTGGCTTAAGGCTGTCGGCGCCAACCATCAGCAGTCAGACTACAGGTGCTACATTAACTATAAGCAACGACCAGCTGCTTTCTCAGGGCCCTTCACTAAATGCTCCAGGTATGCATATAAAGACTTTTGTAATTAAAAGGGATAACAATTTGTTAAAAAAGTAAATATTAGACCAGGTAACTAAATATGAAATGGTATAATCTTGAACATTACGATTCAGGAACTACAGGGCTTTGTGTGTTTTCTCACAGGCTTTAAATTGTTTTGTCAGTTTAAATGAACTTCATTCCATAGAAGAAAATGAAAGCAAGAAGATGTATCTTAAATTAGTACTTCAAGGCAGTTAAAGGAGTATTGAAAGGCTGTTTCTATAAACTGGAGGATGGAGAAATCTGGTGCATTTGATGCAGATGTGATAAAATATCAAAGTCACTCTAATCTTATATTTTGAGTTTTTAAATATGTATATGAATTTCTACCTATATCTGTTTATATATACACAAACACCTGTTTGTGCAATATTTTGTCCATCAAGCTACATTTAGATGAAATTTTTCTCACTTTATCATCTGACTCTGACAATTTTTAGTGCTTGATTAGGTGCTTAACTGGTTTAGTTGATTCCAAAATAGAAAGTCCTAGCAAATGAGAAATAGAAATTCAATTCACTTAAAATAAGTTGGCAGCTAAGAGGTTTTGTTTGTAACCTTTTTTTTACCATTTTGCATATATTCCAGAACTTAATACAACAGGTGGAACAAACCTTCCTTCAACAACACCCATATCACAGTCTGCAGTTTCTGCCCAGAATTTGGTAATGTCTTCATCAGGAGTTGGAGGAGATGGTAGTGTCACTTTGACTCTTGCTGACACTCAGGGAATGTTGTCAGGTGGTCTTGATGCAGTTACACTTAATATCACTTCACAGGTAAGACATGCATTTCGGAACTGGCACATAAACTGATATTACTGTCTTTCAGGGCAGGAATTGGAATTTTTGCTTAGAAAACAATTTTGTCCTGTAAATACATAATATTTGAAAACTCAGTTAACTTTCTTTCTTTTTACCAAAGATGCATGCATACTGGCATCTAGAAACATGAACTGTTTAAACAGAAGTGCAGATAAATTTTGCAGGGTTATTTTTTTCATTGAACATGTAAGTTCTACTGTTTTAGTGATAAACTGTGTACTTCATCATCACTATTCAGTAATACAGCTTAGTACTCCTAAAAATATTACTATTATTTAATATGGTAACTTTTTCTTTTCCTCCTTGTGAACATGAGAGTTGAATAGCAGTTGCAACAGTTCCTTTCACAGCAAGTAGCAGGACAGAATTTAATTGACTATCTTAAATATCTGGTGGCATTATAAAAAAAATATAAAAATAGTGCTGTATGGACAGTCATCTCCCCAGTAGCTTTACCATTAGTTTCATTTTTATCATAATTTAATGTTTTTGTGGTGTCATAAAGAACCAAAGACACACTGGCAATACAATCTATAGAGTGGGGAGATTGAAAAGAGTAAAAGTCTAGAAAGTGAAAATTTAGGGTTGTTGTGTGGTTGAAATTTCAGTGCAGATGAAAGTTTACGTGACTCAGTTAGCTGTTTAAGTATATCTGCTTAAATATATAATTCAGCTTTTGGTTTTTCTTCTCCCCTCTTTGAAAGGGTCAGCAGTTCCCTGCTATACTCACAGATTCCAGTCTCACTAGCCAAAGTGGATCAGGCTCACAGCAAGTTATACTGGTGAGCCATACACCCCATCCAGCACCTGCAAGCTCTGATGAAATAACGTATCAGGTAGATATATTTCTGTATCTTTTTGTGGATAAAAGGACATCATTTAATCAAAATACTGTAATAATTCCTCTATAACCTGAATCGGGGAGACTGGTGTCATTCTTAAATAAGAGTATTGTGAAGAGGTTCTCTGTGACTTCCTAGTCACACAGATTCTGTTTCAGGTTTTGAGTTAAAAAGTACATATACATACACAAAAAAGAAATGCAGTTTATATTGTGTTTCTTTCTTCCAATTATATAACCATGCTTTCAACACAAACTGCTCCAAAAATTTCCAAGTAAATTGGTAGTTTGATAACAAAAATAGACAGAATTCAGAGCTGTGGGAAAAAAATACCACCTATTGATACACTTTCTGCATTCTTTTTTTTGCAAGCAAGTTGTTTTAATAGTGGTGCAAATAAAGTCTTTTCAGCTCCATATGTGTTTGAATCTCAATAAAAACTTTTATGTATGTAAGATACTATTAATGTTAGAAAAATTAGTTCAGACTTCTCTTCTTGAAGGCAAAATGAATGTTTTTCCACCACTTGGTAATGCAAACCCTAAAACAGGAGAACTGGGAGAGGCAGATGGTGACCCCCAATCAAGTGAAGAAGTGGTGGACTACACTGGCAAGCAGAGGGCAAGATATGGATAAGTTGTGGCTGATAAAGGCACAAGATACCTCAAAAGTAATGAAGACTGAAGGGGGCCCACCTGAAGTGTCTGTGTATGAATAAAGGTGCTGAGATGATGGCTTTAGAGAGGAAACTTCATCATTCTCCTTGGTAAAATGTTCACAACTGATTGTCTCTCTGAAGTGCCTGTACACTGATGCATGCAGCATGGGAAACCAACAGGAGGAACTAGAGGTCTGCATGTAGTTGCAGGGCTGCAACCTCACTGGAATCACAGAGTGAAGGTGCTACAACTCACACAATTAAAACACTACCATGCCTGGATTCAGGATCTTTAGGAAAAACAGGCTAGCAAGACAGCAGCAGAACTAGAGCTCTGCCTGGATGATGAGCCAACTGAGACCTTATGGGTAAAGACTGGCAAGAAGACCAACATGGGTGACTGTTGTATTAACCATCTGCTATACATCACCTTATGAAAAGGAAATAAAAGATGGGGCTTTCATCTTGGTCTTAGGCAACCTACCCTGGCTGACTCTTCTTGAGCAGGCAGGTTGGACTAGGTGACCTCAAGAGGTCCTTTCCACCCTCACCAATCTGTGATTTGCAGTCCCTGGTCCACGAGTTACTTCGGCCTGTCTAAGATCTGAAGGGCAACAAACAGGGCACAAGGAATCTAGGAAATTTCTAGAGTGCATTGATAATAACTTCCTGATACTAATAACCGAGAAGCCAGCAAGTGGATGTGCTCTTCTGGGCCTGATAATTGCAAACAAGGAAGAACAGATTGGAAATGTGAAGGTCAGGGAACATATTTTGTTGCAGTGACCATGAGATTGTGGAGGTCAGGATACTGAGGGAAGGACAACAAAGCAAATAACAAGATCATAACCTGGAAATCAGGAAGGCAGACCATGATCTATTCAGTGATCTGCTTGTGGGTTTATCTTGGTTGAGTGCCAGGTACCCACCAAAGCTTCTCTATCGCTACCCCTCTGCAGTGGTAAATAAAGTAAAATGGGAAAGAAAATAAAGTTCATGAATCAAGAAAAGGACAGAGAGAAATCAGTCAGCAGTTACCTAACCGTGCACAGTCATATGCTAAGCAGATCTGGAGAGGATGAGGACCAGGGGAGCTGTTTGATTTTAGATGCTGTCTTTCGTCAAGATCAAGAGTGACCAGTACCAATATGTAGGAAGAAAGGCAACCGGAGGCCAGCATGGATGAACAAGGATCTCCTGACAAAACTTGAACATAAAAAAAGAAACATACATAAGTGGAAGCAAGATCAGGTGACCTTGAAGAAGTAGAGAGACATCATTCAAGGAGACAGAAATGAGTTTGAGAAACCCCAAGTTCACCTGGAGTTGAATCTAAAAGGGATGTAAAATGTAACAAGGTGGGATTTTACAGGTATATCAGCAGCAAATGGAAGATGAGTTGACCTGGTACTGGTTTGAGCAGAGGTGATGCGGTGATCCTCATGAACTGAACTGATGGTCTCAAAAAGAGAGTCCATCTCTCAGCCAGTCCTTAGTAATGTTCCCTGAGGTTCAAATACTGGATCTAGTACTGTTCATTAATGTTCTTCATTTAGTGACCTGAGTGGTAGAACAGAGTGCATGTTCATCAGGTTTACAGGGATGGAAAACTGGAAAGGAGTAGTTAACAGACTGAATGGTTGTGGTACCATGCAGAGGAACCCCAGCAGGCTGGAGAACTGGGCCAACAGGACACTGAAGAAGATCAGCAATAGGAAGAGCAAAGTCCTGTCCCTGAAGAAGGACAATCCCATGGACTAGTACACACTGAGGGCAGCAGGAAAGCAGCTTTTCAGAGATGGACCAGGGGATACTGGTAGACAAGTAGTTGACCATGAGCCCGCAGCGCAGCACAGAAGGCCCAGCAGCATCTGAGGTTCAATAAAGGGAGTGTTGCCAGCTGATCAAGAGAATTGATCCTCCCCTCTTCTCAGTACCAGTGAGAATGTGTCATCTGGAGTGGTGTGTCCAGTCCTGAGCCCACCAGTACAAGAGACACAGATATACAGCTGTAAGTGCAGTGGAGAGATATAAAGAGGATTAAAGAATTGGTGCATCTAACATAGAAGGAGAACCTGAGAGAGCTGGAAATGTTTGGCTTAAAAGAGATGGGCTCTGGCTGGGGGCTTCTTATCAATGTACATAAATACCTGATGGGAGGGACTAAAGCAGATAGTTCCAGTTTGAGCTATTCTGTGTTTCTAATACCTTGTGCATGTGATTTTTTTATATTTGCATATGCTTATGAGTGTGAGTTCTTAATTCCAGCATTCAAATACTCTCTGAATATGGATGTTTTAAAGTTTAACATGAACAGATTTTCTTACTCTTCTGAATTTAAAACTAGATTTTGTGTATCTATATATTCTTTCATGAATCAGGGTGTCATTTCATAAGGCTTATTATCATATCCCTTGTAAAGTGTGACTGTGTCTGTGTAGCACTGTTGTAATAACTCAAAATGTAGTAATAATGTAAGCTAGTTGTCATTCTAGATGATGTTATGTTTTATTTAATCATGGTGACTATGTTGATTGCCTTTCCAACACTTCACAGTTTGCCTGAGAACATCCAGCTAGTTGGAAAGAAGCACACACACAGGTGTTTCTTGTAATTTCTTTCAACATGTTTTATATTGCATCTTTGATTTCTACTATGGATAATATTCTATTGTGTTTTGTATCTTTTCAAGTTTAGTTTATCCTGAATAATTAATTTAGAGTACTCCTTCCTTCATCTTCATTTGTTGCTTTCTATGTTACTGTATTTAAGGCTCTTCTGTATAAAGTTGAAGGAATTTGGTGTTAAATTATTTGAAGGAAGTGAGATTTTCCCAAACATTTCTTATTAATTAAAATGAAACAAAAATGTAACACACCATCCAAATTTTATCAATTATTCATTGTGATTCAGTACTTCTCGAGGCAGAGCTTTACTTCATTATGAAAATAGAACCCTAATAAAGAAGTTAAATAGAAATTATTCTTCTCCTGTAAAATCAGAGATACTTTCTTTTTTGTCTGAAACATTTTTGGCTTTGAATTTTGTTTAGGGAGAAATGTGGGAATCATCTGAGATGATGTGCAGGAGTATAAAACGGAATATAGAAAAATATTGCTACAAACTCATTCTATTTATAGTTAGAATAATCTGATCATAGCTATTATTGTAGTTTTCTTAAAATACATATATTTGTCATCCTTTATAACAGTGAAATAGAAATTCATATTTACGTGCGACTTATATATGTAAATACTTCCTTTGTGTTTGTAAGTTGCTTGTAAGTACTCTCCAAAAATTGGTTGAGGTAGATTCAGAAAAATAAATCAGTGTTGTGGATGTGCCTATGAAATTATCTGATAATGTTTTTGTAAATTGTTCTAGGTGACAGAGGTTTCCCCTAATGTGACTAAAAGCAGCCAAGCAGAAAAAGAAAGTCGCGGGCACCAGTGTTTTGAGTGTAGTCAAACCTTCTACTCAGTGACCATGCTGACGCACCACTGTAAGGAGGTTCATGGCAAGGAACGAATACATGTTTGCCACATCTGTAATAAGGCCTTTAAGCGGGCAACACATCTCAAGGTACTTGGTAATAACAGTTGATTGTTCTGTTGACTCCTTCTTTTGTTTTGGACTTTTTGTGATATTTACAAAAGGTACCTATTATCCCTTTGTCTTTGCTTTCCTTTTACAGTGTGAGAGGTGTGCATCTGAGAGAGGGAGTCTAAGTGATAATGTATACACAGATAGAGAACTCTCTTCTGGAGCACGGAGAGGATTTTAATGCATTTATTGACTACAGAATGAAAAATATGAATGCCTGTCATGCAAGTAGTAGTGCCAGGAAAAGATTTCACTTTATTTGCTTATGAATATCATCACTGCTAATCCTGATTTTCAGATAATTTTTTGAAATCTCAGGAAGCTATCTGCTGTGCACTCTTATCATTCGATTTGTAGATGCTCTGTCTTGTGGATGCAAGTGACATCTGTAGACGAAGCATTTGTTTTAAAATATCCTTATGTTATTGCTGTTGTCTAGGGTATTTTCTGTGTTCTGTTCTCTAGATGATGAGCAACCAGATACATTGAACTAGTTTCAAAAAAATTAGTGGTGTAATTAAGTTGTTAATTGGATTATAGAATGTTCCTGTTAGGAATATTGGGCTGTACTAGACAAGTTCAGGCCAGTATCCTGTCTCTGAGAGATACCAAATGGAAGTTATTTGAAGAAGATCTTTAGGAAAAGAGCAAACATATAACTTGCCCAGAATTTTGCCCGCTTCCCAGAATTTGTAACAGGAAATTCCTAGTCCAAAGGCAATGTCTTTTTGTATTAAGTAACTTTTAGGAGAGCTCTTGAATAGATTTCCTTCAGTATCGTATTTTAAGGAAATATACTTCGTTTGTGAAGTTCACCCCCTTGGACTGATTATGTCTGTTAACCAGAGTATTGGACCTTGGGGAAACTATCATAAAATGTGTTGTTGTGGAACTTCTTCTTTAGAAGAATTTTTTCAGGGGAAAAAAACCAAAACAGTATTGGTACTTGTTTTCCTTAAGTAATGGTAACAAACCCCAAATATCAGTCTCTCTACTATTTGTTTCCTTAGAACTGGCTGTTGTTACATTTTTTTGTTATAGTTAAACCTTGATTTCTATTATATACTGAGCCCAGGTTAAAGATATGACAAGATAACTTCCTACCTTGGTATGTCCCTTGGAGTATTATCCATCATTGATTTTTCAAGTAGGCAGCGATGAAGTTGCAGTAAGAAGTTCAAGGGCAGTCACAAGAGACTTCATGGCCTTGGAACAACTTTTTAAGGGATCAGAAGGACAAGTAATCTTCTATCCTTCCAATTGCAGGGAATGATGAAGAAAGAGACAGCAGATCAATAACTATCTCTGAGACTGGCATCACCAGCAAAAGTTTGGGGTTTTTGATCATGGATTGGTCTACATGACAGCAGACATGCTGCATATGGGATACACTTGTCTCAAAGGGGTAAAAAGATCTTTGTTGAGGAGTTAGCGAGGCTCATTGAAAGAGCTTTAAACTAAGTTTGTAGGGGGAAAGGGATAAAACCAGTCTCTCTAGAGATAAGCTTGTGGGTGGCACACCAGTGTTTGAGGAATCATGTATTAGCAAGGCCCTTCAGTCAGCTCCAAAGTACTGAGTGCACTGGAGCGTGTTTGAAGTGTCCCTGTACCAGGGCATGCAGCACCATAGCCATCTCAGTGGAGGGAGGGGAAATGATCAGTGACCTGAGACACACACTGGTCTATAGGGCAGGATGGAATCCATCCATGCCTGCTGAGGGACCTGTCAGAAGAGCTTGCCAAAACATTTTCAATCATTTATGAGCAGTCCTGGCTCCAGGGAAGTCTCAGTTGGCAGTAGGTTAACAAATGTGACACTCGTCTACAAGAAGGGCTGGAAATAGGATCTGAGAAACTACAGGCTTGTCAACCTGATCTCAGTACCAGGGAAAGGTTATGGATTAACTTAGCTTGAGTGCCATCGTGTGGCACATGCAGGATAGCCAGTGGATCAGGCATAGCCACCATGGGTTTATGAAAGGCAGGTTCTGCTTGAGTAACTTGATTTCCTTCTATGACAAGGTAGCTTGCTCAGTGGAGGAGGGAAAGGCTGTGGATGTTGTCTACCTGGACTATGGCAAAGGCCTCTGACACCATTTCCCAGAGCATTCTCCTAGAGAAGCTGTCTTCCAATGGCTTGGACAGGTGTACTGTTCACTGACTGTATGGCCACGCCCAGAGTTGGTGTTGAATAGAGTTAACATCCGACCAGTCACAAGAGGTGTTCCCCAGGGCTCAGTACTGGGACCAGTTCTATTTAATATCTTTAGCAATGATCTGGACAAGGGGAATCAAGTGCACTCGCAGTTAAGTTTTCAGAGGACACCAAGTTGTGTGGGAGTGTTGATCTGCTGGAGGGGAGGAAGGCTCTGCAGAGGGATGTGGAGGATATGAGATTCAACAGGCAAAGTGCCAGGTCCTGCACTTGGGTCGCAACAATGCTACAGGCTGTGAAGCAGCCTGGTAGAAAAGGAGCTGGGTGTACTGGTCAACAACAGCTGAACATGAGCCAGCAGTGTGCCCAGGTGGCCAAGAAGGCCAATGGCATCCTGCCTTGTATCAGAAATAGTGTGGCCAGCAGGATTGAGGCAGTGATCATCCATCCCCCTGTGCTCGTCACTGGTGAGGTCTCACCTCGAATCCTATGTTCAGTTTTGGGTCTCTCACTTTAAGAAAGACAAGGAGATGCTGGAGAGTGTCCAGAGAAGGGCAACAGAGCTGGTGAAGGTATCAATTACAGGTCTTGTGAGGAGTACCTGAGGGAGTTGGGGTTGTTTAGCCTGGAGAAAAGGAGGCTCAGGGGAGACCTTATCACTCTACAATTACCTGAAAGGAGGGTGTAGGCAGATGGGAGTCAACCTCTTCTCCAAGGTAACAAGGAATAGGACATGAGGAAATGACCTTAGTTGTGCCAGGGAGGTTTAGATTGGCTAAACTGGGAAAAATGTCTTCATTAAAAGCTTGTTGAGCATTGGTGCAGGCTTTACAGGAAGTGGTTGAGTTCCCAACTCTGAAAGTATTAAAATATGTAGATGTGGCACTGTGCACAGTGGCTTAGTGGACACAGTTTAATGGTAGACTTAAAAGTGCTGGTTTAATGTGTGGCTTTGATCTTAAAGGTCTTAAAGGACAGTTTGATTTACCGCTGGACCATCACGTACTAAAACAAATTCCACACATTATCAGACTCTTCTTCATTAGGGTGTTCCAGAATGTCAGCTGTGAGCAGCCTTTAACAGGAAATTCAACAAAGATAGATGAAACCATGGGGTTTGGCTTAGGGTTTTGGAAAGGGTTCAGTGATCTCTTACTCATGGTCTTCATTTTATACTGTTAGTATTCTGGAGATCACTAGAAATATTAAGGGCACTGCCAGACTTCAGGCTTTTCAGAAAATCCAAAAAAGAGGTAAGGGTATCAGTCTTTAGATGCCAGTACTTAATTGTATGTGTTTTTTTCCAAAGGTATCAGTACTAGCAGTTTCAGAATTATCCACAAGAAAACCTTCTTTAGAGATTATGTATGAACACCCCTACCACCCACCCCATCCCCAGTGTGAAAAATTTTCAGTCCAGTGACTTAGTTCCCCTTTTGATGTGGGTGACTGCCCTGATTTTACAGCTTCAGAAAGGAGAATCTTAAGACATGTACATTGGACTAAACTGTCCAATTCCATATCAGTGTCGTGGAAATATCTGCAAGTTGACTGTAGATAGTAATTAAAGCACAGACATGATTCTAAGATGAAATTAAAACATCACTATTATTAAAACGATGGAATGAAATGAACTTCCTGCCAGTCTTTCAGAGGTGCTTGCAGTTAACGTTTCAGGATAGGTAGGGTGGGCAGAAGAGTGACATACTAATGCATGTGTGAGGGGCCAAGGGCCCTTTCGAAGAAGGTTTTCTGTTCTTACTTTCTAGTTAGATAATGCTGGTTTGGAACCCCAAGGTAGTTTTTAGCTGATGAATATGAGAATTACACAAATAAACTTGTAAAATGTCACATGAACAATCAATTAAATACTAAATATGTCTATAAAGAGGTGCTTGACCTTCAGAGCACTTTATTCCCATGAACTCTTTTCAGAAGTATATATATTTTACAGGAAAATTATAAGAGATTGACAGATCAGTGGACCTGAACTGCATCACAGACTGTGCAGAAAAAGATGACAAAGTTTTATGGTGGCTGTCTGAATGCTATCTTGTTTGCTTTCAAACAGAAAATGGTATGGGAGGGTTATTGGGGTTTGGAGGTTGGGGATTTTTGGGTTTTTGGGTTGGATGTTTTGTGGTGGAAGAAGGAAGCAGCCAGTTTCTGTTAATTTTTCTGGAGTAGGTCATAGTTTGCTTCCACTATTTCAAAGCTTCAGGAGGTAATAAACAAGATAAAAGCAAAAGATTTTTATTTCCACATAAGCTGTGGTTTACAAATCTCTGATTTTTCTCAGAAGACCTGATATTATTTTCCTATAATACTATAGTATATAATTACTATGATAATAATATTCTTCCCTGTAACTGTCTCGCTGATTTTTCAGTGTAAACAAACTCTGCAGATACAGTTTGACTCAGTTCGTGGAGTGAGGAATAGGACTTCATAGACATCAAGAAGGCTTGTTGTTTAGGTATAGTAAAGACTAATTAATAGTTTAGTCTGTTATGAATAGACTAGAAAAGAATATCCGCACACATTTTAGAAAGTGGGCAAGTATTTGCAGTACTGTTTCACAAACAGTTCTTGATTAGATTTTTTCTAAGTTAAATATATATATATATTTGCTTTCTTCTTTAATTAGAATTCTATCTTGGTATTAATAAAGATATTTAAATAAAAATATTAATAGATATCATAAGATACTCTTCTAAATATGCAAGTCTTCTGGGTCCAGCATCAGTGAATTAAAAACCCTGAAGTTAGAATTGTTATTAATGCTTCTTCATGAAGGTAAAACGGGTCATATCATCATTCTGCTATCTTACCTCTAAGGGCCTTAGTGATTTTGGTGGGTTTTTTTCTTTTTTAATTAAAAGTTCATTGTGAAATGGTTCTATTTGCATCTTGGCATTGTGTGACTGTGTATGAGTGTATGTTGTGATAGTCCCCTCTTTGAGACCCGTACAGTTTTACAGTGGTACTAATTCAGGTGCTGAGGAATACCTATGTATCAGACAAGGAGGGAGATGGATATTGTAGAGGAGAGGAGGAAAAAGTCCTATATTAACTTAAAATGCACAAGTTGTCAAAATATTTCTTTTTAGGTGAGAAAAGCATTTCAAGAGTTCTGGTTCAGCTTATTTTATTTTACTTCAGATAATTAGTGAAGATACTAACGTATGCAAAAAAAGCAAAACATACAGTTATTGGTGGAGTTTTCCAAATGTAAAGATACTGATGCATCAGTGTTGCAAAGAGTTGATATACAAAAATAATCTCTCATTTAAAAGAAAAAGAAATGCAGGCTTCCATTTTCTTACAGCTTGTCTGCTGATAACTAAGATCCTCTGCAAGGTGTGAATATATTTTTTATGTTAAATACTGACATTTTTTTAAATGGTCTGAAATGTATTTTTTTTTCCATACTGGCTTAGGAGCACATGCAAACCCATCAGGCTGGACCTTCATTGAGCTCCCAGAAGCCTAGAGTGTTTAAGTGTGATACTTGTGAAAAAGCTTTTGCTAAGCCAAGTCAGCTGGAGAGACACAGTCGCATTCACACAGGTAACAACAGAAATTATTTTTATCTCACAGGATTTTCTCATGAATATATGGGTGTTATATTTTGAGTCCTTGCTTATGCTTTCAGCTCACTGCATTTAAATATCGACTTAAGCTTAAAAAAACCATGGTAAATTTCTAACCCAAAATGTTTGCAAGTTAAAAGGAGGAACAGCAGACTTGAAATCTCATGATGCTTCTCTAAGCTTATCTGTATTTTGGGAATGGCAGTACTGCAATGGTAATGTGAGTGCATGAGCTTGTATGTAAAAGTTTGCCAGTCTTTGAAACAGATTAATAAGAGCATATTTTAAGCCATTGTTTATAGTGATGTAAACACACTAGATATAATCATCTTCAAGCATACAGAAGAACGTGCAAATGAGTGGGTGTGCTCAGTGATGTTAAACAAAGAACAAGCTTGATTGCTGATACTGACTCCGGTATCCAGTGCTTCATTGCCATTGAGCTACTTGCTCAGTTCATCTGTTTCTAATGCCAGTGCTTTTAATCTGTTGTTTTCTTTTCCACTTAAGTATTTTCTTCAACTGGTAATCTATAAATAAAGATTATGCTGGCTTCTCCTAGGGAAACCATCTCATTTTCTGTGATGTAAGTGCTTTTCAGGTTGCAGCTTCTGCCCTGCTACAAGTTGAGATAGGATGTTGGCCCAGCTGCCTTCCCTGTCACCTTCTGTGCCTGAAGAACAGTGTTCTTAAGAACATGAGTTCTAAATATAGGAGTCGGTTCTCCAAAACAAGTTCTTTCTTTTCCCTGTCACTGCTACCAAGAAAGAGCTGTCATGGCTGCTAAAGTTAAAAAGGACAGGGGAAAGCTGTCTGTGTTGCTGTTTAGCTGGATGGGACTCCCACAAAAGGATAACTGTCTTTCAGTGAATCAGCCAGAGCTTTGTCTTTCCCCAGCATCAAGCTGTTTTGTTGTTACTGTGGTAGAAAAGAACATTCTGGTTATACTGGGGACAGGAAAGGAGAGATAGGAGAATCCAAGGAGATTAAAATTCTTCAGAATTCCACAGTAATTTGCTCTCTGCATAAATGGCCTAAATAACACAGACTCTTAAAAAAGGCAATGTTCTAGTTAAGAGTACCACAAAATATTCAGAAAGCAGTAAAGACAGCCAATTTCCATTCTCCCTGCTTTGATTCATACTGCCCATTGTAATGGGCAAAGAGCACTTTAGGAAGTCTGGGAACAGAGCAGAGTCCCTTTATGCATCTGCACTATCATAGGAAAAATTCTTTCTGTTTTGGAAGGACTTGTAACAAACCTCACTAAATTCATATTTACGTTTCTGTTTCAACAATGTCAGACAATGGTAGGTCAATCCATAGGATATGACTATGGACTAGGATAGGAAAGGCTAATGTAAATCTAAACTGACTTGCTTTCATAAAGATGCCATCCTTGTCTGTGAGAAAGTGTGATTTCTCTCTTGATTATACATTTTTAACCATTTCTAATGGGCAATACCTACTGAATCAGTGGTCAGAATGAAAAAGCATTATTTCTCTGAATAACTAAATATCTTGTGCTTTAAGATTTACCAACGAAGAGTAGTTTGAAGAAATATTGAAATTAGAGGGAAGCAGATGCTCCCAGTTCTACCCAAAAGCCACATGGTAACCCATTACACAACACAAGAAAGGCTGTTCACTTCAAATGAATTTTAAAAAAATGGAATCAAAAGTACTTTAGGAAACCTAGATTTCACTTCAAATTAGTGAAATAGTTGTTAACAAACAAAAAAGGAAACTTCTGTGCTTTAAAGGACCTTTTATTGATTGTCTGAGAAATTGGATTTGGCATGCAAGCTACAGTGCATGTGGGAACACTAACATACAGGGAATGAAGGGAGAGAGACATTCATCCTTTAAGAACAATTGTGGAAAAGTATTTATACTCCTGCTTGTGCTTTATTGAGCTGACTAATAGTGAAGTGTATTTCTAAGTTCAGAAAGTGCTTTTAGAAGTCCTTAATGACATACAATGTGTCTTTCATTAATCTCAGAGGTTGGGATGTTGAGTTTTTAATCAAAGGTCTGATTTTGCAAAGTAGATATTTTTTAACTTTAAAAATATTTAAAATTAATACATTCGTGCATTTATAGTTAGAAATCAGTAGTATTCTGGCAGATTTGGATCAATGCTTTGGTAAGATGGGATAATCACTAGTAGCTGTTGGCATAGGAGGACATAGGTCCCATGTAGAATTAGCAGAACACTTCTTTTTTAACATATTTGACTTTTTAGTTTCTTACAGACATCAACTTTGTTAATTCTAGAACATTGCTTTATCTGCATTACTCTGAATGATGTAAAAAGCTGAAGGTTTCCTTGGGTACAGAAAAGTCAAATGATTTTTTTGCACCTCTTAAATAATCTACTGATAAATTGGATAGGAAAGATAATATCAGTGATTTAGTACTTATGTAAGTATTCTGACATTTAATTTGGGATTTTTACTGACAGTATGGAGCCGTAACACTGTTTAGAGAAGGTCTTAAAGAAAAAGGTCATGTCTATTTCATTTCTAGGTCATCTTGATGATTTATGCTGAATTCTGAACTGTGTTTTAATGTTGAAATGAAAAATTATTAAATATGTTTTTCTCTCTCATAAGGGGAACGGCCATTTCAGTGTACACTGTGTGAAAAAGCATTTAACCAGAAGAGTGCTCTTAAAGTCCACATGAAAAGGCACACAGGAGAGAGACCTTATAAATGTGATTACTGTGCAATGGGATTTACACAGAAAAGCAATATGAAACTGCATATGAAACGGGCTCATGGTTACACTGGTACGTAGCATAGTGGTAGTACTGGTGAGTGCAAAAGGGCATGTACTTTACTGGGAAAGCACAAAATACTTCCCTTAAGTTACCAAGGAATTAAGCACTAATAGCCAGAGACCACAGTAGATGAGTTAATAGTTACACATGCAACCCAAAAATCAGTTTGAAAGAGTGATTGGTTACCTTTTTGGTTCCTTGTTTTTAATGTGGAGCTCTGTGTCCAGAAACACAGTGTTCAAAAACAATTCCAGGAAAACAATGATATTAGGTTGTTTTTAATTTTTCAAAGACTGTCTGATAAATCTACAGTATCTGAAGTAGTTGTGTAATACCTTTCCCAGCATGATTCATTTGTTCTCAAATGCTATATTTGCATTTTTCTAGCACTGTACATCAAATCATACTCACTTGCCTTTTTCTCTTATACCTTGGTAGGTCCTGTACAAGAGCCTGCTAGTCACCAAGAACAAGAAGGGGAAGATATTAGTCGTGCTCTGAATTTAGAGGAAGTGGTACAAGAATCTTCAAGTGAATGGCAAAGTATAGGCAATGTTTTTCGATGACACCTTGAAATTTGAAAGCTAAAAATGTTTCTGGGACTCAAATTTTACAGTTAAATCTTCAAGCATTGAAAATACTAACGATAGAATAATATATTATAGTTTTTCTAATATTTGCAAAAATTACCTAAAAGATCAATTCATTTTTTTAAGCTTGTAGAAGAATATTGGGAAAACACCATTTAATCTGCGCTAAGTTGTCTGTGAATCAGTGAACTCAGGTAATAATGTATACAGTTTCATCTTCGAATTCACAGCCAGTATACCTATTTAAAAATAAACTGGAACTTTATATCAGAATAGAATGATTCCCATTTTTAATGAAAGTGAAGAATAACTTCATGGGAAAACCATGAAACTGTCCATCAGCTTTCTTTTTCACATATTTAAGGAAACAAAATGTTACAGAGTTGATGCATGCATGCAGTATAAAATAGTGGGGTTTTGCCTTCAATTTTTTTTTTCTTATGTGGCACAGGAAAATGCTGTACTGCTGTTTAAAGCTGTTTTTTTTTTTTTTTAGTACATTTTGAGAATTCGTTGAAAAAAAATAAAATACCATGATTTCATGGCTTTTATCGAGTTAAACCCTTGAGAGGGAGCATGTTTATTTCCATTCCAGCCACAGAGGCAGATAGTTGTTAGTTTTTACGGTAAAAGTCTGAGGTTTTGAACTCAGCAATAATTATTTCACAAGAATCCAAACAAGAAGAGGTTCCAATGAAAGCTTCTTCTGTTGTTTGCTGTATTGGATCAACAGGTACATATCTCAGTATCTGTGGAAAACACAGCCATATATTAAATCTGTGAAGTAAACATACAGTTCTGTATTAGCAGGGAGAAAGTTTGATGCACACTATGTCACCTATATTATACAGTGTTCTCTGGTGCTGTAAACAGTTATCATTTTGAATCTGTAAATTCCTCATTATTTTCTTTGTGAATTTTGGAAATATGTTACTTTTATTTGTTGTTTAAGTCATTGTTTCAGCAAAACTACCTAGTTGACTATGTAATGCTTTCAAAGGTGCCACTTGTTAAGTGTATTCGTAACAAAGAAACACTGGAGTAAAAACATAGTTGTCATTTAGACATTCCAAAGACAGAAGCTTTTTTCTTATTTTTGCCTTGTTCTTTTGAATTTTATTTATATGTTACATATATATAGATATATATATGTGTGCTTGTATATGTATATATATATATTTAAAGTTATATGAGCCTCTGTGTGGCTGATCAGTATATTTTGTAAATACTAATCCCAGTTGCAGGAAGTTCATCTGTTTGGTTGCCACAAGTACTTCTAGATCAGTGGTGGATATGTTGTACTATAATACAGAGCTGGATTTTAATTTACCTTCTGAAAGATAATTGTTCTCAGATCCAGAAAGCCCTTTTCTGTAAATATTGTCTATACTTTGTCTCTGATATAAACTAGTTCTTTCAGATTGCTGAAGCAAGAAATGGTTGTTGGTTTTGATAGGGCCTCTCTTAATTCTTTTGTTAACTGTTCGGCATATGTATATAAGTAATATAGTTGGTGACATGAAAATAACACTTTTGTTATGTGGAATATTTAATTCAAAAACATGCTAAATAATATTACTTTTTTCCAACTTCTGTTTCGTGTATTTTTTAAGCATATGATTCTGGATTCTAGGAGACTCTAAAAACTCTGTTTACCAGAAGTGCATCTCTGGATATTAGATGTAAAGGAAAGATGTAAAGTTCTTCCAGCAGTGCCTTCCCTTCCAACCAGCCATGAGTGTTTCAGCTGCTTAAGGAAGATACTATATTTTACAGTTGTCTGGCCTCATGACATAGCATCCTGTTTATCTGTTATAATATAGTAAAATGTGCTGTGTTGTGTGTACCATGTATAAAACCAGTTAATTCAGAGAATACTGGATAAATGCACAGCAAAGTTGGTTGGAGTTGATTTGCTGTGTAGGGCATGATGATTTCCAAAGGTTGCAAAATTCAGTTTGACCAAAGATGATTTATAACTGGTCACATCCAGATGCAAATCCATCCTTCATAATGGGAACGTTATTCCTGAATACTTGAAAGCATTCAGTCTGCTCTAACTGGGATTGCTGCCAGGAAGTAAAGACTGGTAGTAGTTGGTACTTGAAGAGAGCCTATTAAGAAGATGGAGGGGGACTTTTTACAAGAGCACATAATGACAGGACAAGGGGGAATGGCTTTAAACTGAAAGAGGATGGGTTTAGATTAGATGTCTGAAAGAAGTTCTTCACTATGAGGGTGGTGAGGCACTGGAACAGGAGGCCCAGAGAAGTTATGGATGCTCAATACCTTCAAGTGTTCAATGCCAGGTTGGATGGAGCTCTGAGCAACCTGGTTTAGTGGGAAGTGTCCCTGTCCACAGCTGGGGGGTTGGAACTGGGGTCCTTTTCCACCCAAACCATTCTGTGATTCTGTGATGCTCAGTGAGCACATGCTAAAAGCAGATTTTGTGAGTAAAAAGATACTGTGTTTAAATGGACACTTCCCAAAGTGAACAGAGGTTTGTATAGCCCAGGTTCCTTGGTAAGACTGAGTTGGAGATTTTCAAAGTAGTGTATGTGTTCATGTTCAGTACAAATACAGACACGGTAACTGATAGGTTGGTGTTTTCAAAAGCAGTGTTGCAGTAGATGCATTTTTTAAGGAAGGAGAAGAACTCTTGTTCTGAGACCTGCTTGAAGAGCCATGTTGTGTGTAGTGGGTAAGGGAACAGTGCATAGGAATGCCCCTGTTCTTTCTGGTTTGATCTAGTAGTAAGTTTACACTAGCCTGAGGCTTTTTGACTCATGTCTGGTCAGAATTTCTTTTGGTTTATGTCCATTCCTTCAGTACATGAAACTACTCTCTCCCTAATACTGGTTGTGCATTCCTGTTTCAGGAAAAATCCTTTTGGTTACAAATCAAATCACCATTCAAACTGCTGTTTTTCAGCAAAACTACTAGTGGAGTAATTAAAAGAATAAATTTCTGTCTAAGTTTTAGTCACTTTCAAGAGACTCCTATTGGTAAAATAATGTTTTCAATTACTGTACCTGTTTTTACTATAGGAAGTAAATCCAAAACAGACACTTTCAGCCTCTGGGAAAGATGACTGTGAGGGAAACAAGAGTGATGAAGGCAAGTAAGAAGCTATGGATAAATTCTGAAGTTCTACAGTGCAGTATTTTGAAAGATGTGTTTCTCAGGGGCTCTTTACCTTAAGTATTCTTTCCCATTTTTGAAGGCTATTTGCACCACGCTTGTTCATGAAGGGCACGATTTCATTGCCTGTTCATAGACATTTTATGCCTTGCAGTATCCCCCTGGTCTGTAGCTGCCACTGCACAGACACTGGCCTTCCATAAGTCTTGTGTCCTATTGTTAGCCTTCTGGGCCATGCTAAGCAATACCATTAGAAGCCTGTATGCAGGCAGCTGGGTCCCAAAGTGTCATTTTCTAGTATTTGAACATTATTCATAAATTGTGGGAGGAAAAAAAAATGAATCAAACAGATTTTCATATGTATGACCTTTTCCTCTGCAAAAAACAAAACTGGCCCAAGTTTCAAGTTGATTACTTTATTTCAATAATGAATATATTTAAAAGCTGTGTTCCTATAAGAACAATACGTATTCAAATTAAATCAACTATTATGTTGCAGAGTATACATCTGAATGAAGCTACAATAGAAAAATACACATAGCAACCAGTGTAGGTAATACGTGTATGTATGCTTAATGATTTTGGCAGTTTTGTTTTCTTTAGTTTCTATGTATTTTCTATCATCTCATCTTCCATTGCTTCATATTAATGGACACTGATTTAAACCTACAATAGATTTAGATGTGAAATGCAATTAACATAAATATTTATAGGTAACTTTCACTGGGCACTTATTAGGAATGCAGTTTCAACCTAGAAAGCACTAACTGTAGTCTACAATGCATAGGCTAAAACTAAAAAAATAAAATAATTAATCAGACACTTAGATGACAGATTGAAGAAATGGTAAGTTTAAGTAATAAAACAGTGCAATTCAGAAGAGCCTTTTATTTCCCTAAATGTGGTTGGAAATACGATCGCCACACATTCATTTTAGTATTTCATGAACAATTAATGTCTACATCTAACTGAGCTACAATTTATTTCTATGAGGCAACTACAGTACAACAGTTAAATGTTCACAGTAGTTTACTATGAGTTTGCTTTGGTGCACTGCCCTTAAGAGGCATCCAGGTGTTACTCAGGCAAAAGATGAGCTGATCAAATACAACACTGCTGCAATACCAAGAGAAAGACTTGAAATTCTAACATGAGATGTGCAGGACTACCTGAGATACCAGTACTGAAGGGCTTTCTTTCAGAAATTAGACTTTTTTGTTTATGTATTTACTTACTTATTTACTGCACTGCAAAATCAATGCTGTTGCAGCAGAGTTTACGTGAAGCACCGGTGACATCCAGTGGTCACTTGTGCAATCTTAGATGTTTCTCTGGGAATATCCCTTGTTTCATAACATTAGTCTAACTCAAATTTGAAATCCTCTTTCTCTCCCTCATCTACTCTTAATTCTAATGGTTTGGATGCGATGAGCAATTCATGGCATGGAAAGAATTTCCTTATTGCTATTGCTCGGCATCGTATTGATTCTACAACATCTGCCCCCTCCCACATTTCACATACCTTGAACTCCCAGTGTTTGGTAAACCTTTCCATGACTGCCTAATCCTGTTACGAAAATAAATTATTCTGTGAGTGAGAGAAGGAAGATTAAAACAAAACAAAAAACCAACCAAAAAAAAAAATAAAAAAAACTATTTGGATAAACAGTCCTTACAACTTCTGCACATGTTGGGTTTTTTTAACAGCAGTGTCTCAGAAATTCATTAACAGCAGTGCTCAGTGTCCAAGACATTATAACTCTTTATTTGTAATTCTGATGTTCACTAAAACGAAACCAGAAGAGTTGAGCTCAAATTAGGTGCTTGGGAGAAATAATGGAGTCCAGCATACAGTTAGGGCATCCTGAAGGAGAACAAGTAAAGTCAGAGATCTTGTTACTTCACATGAAATAAGGAAAACATCTAGTAAAGCTACTTTTTATGTTCCTTTCATTCAACTGTTGGTCAGGGATTGCCAATAGAAGTTTGTATAATGTACTGCATGCAGAACCTAATTGGCATTAAGTAATGGATTGCATCTATCTAGGTAATTGTGGCAGCTGTTATTAATTTTAAGGCAGTTATACTATGAAGCAGAGTACAGGATCCTTGAATGGCATCTTAGAGCTTCAGCGCCTAGCAATTGGTGAACCAGACCGCGATCCAGGTCGGGACCCAGAGCCTCCCTGTGGAGGGAAGAACAGAGTTAGGTTAATTGAAAGTTAATGTGTATTTGGGGCTATACATTGAAAATCATCAATCTGTAGTAAGTACAACAAAAAGAAGCTAAGAAAAGATAAAAGGGCTGAAGCCTGGCCTATTTTTACAAATAATAAGAAGACATCAGACTAGGAGAAAAACATTGTGACAGTTCATTAACCTGTAACTGAGAAAAGAAGTGGGTTTATAGCAAAGATGATCCAAGCTAAAATTTTGGTGTTTCATTCTTTGGAATTTAAGATTACGCTAACAGAGTATCTTGTCCCTTAGCTTTACCAACTATTTTAGGAAAATCTTGAAAAATGTGCTTATGACCACAAACATGATGTGGTGTGGTGATTGTTACCGTAATCAGGTGATGTCTGAACTGTTTACTTAAAAAAAAATGTATGTGTGTACTTTGGGACTTTATTTATATTCTTCTTTCAGCACTGCCTCCTTAGTTTTACAGAACTGTTTCAAGGAAATATCAGTCTAATTCCTTAGGTAGTTGGCTTTTTTTTTCTTTCAAAGGTATCTTAAAGAATGGATAACTTTTATATTGTCAAAGACTGTAGAACTGTATAAAGAAGTAGTTGTTAATGCCTCCTGCTGTAAAAAATGGGTCTAAATCAAATGGGCCTGAATAGAACTCTGACATTAATTCCAAAAGTTATAATGGCTGGGAAGAGACTATCTAAAAAGTAGAACTGGTTTATTTATCTCTCAGATATATATAAATCCAAGCTAAAGTAGCTGTGATGATTATGCAAAAAGAGAATAATAAATTTTATTGAGATATCATTAATGGGTATTTTCGGATGTTCAAATGAAATTTTACAAATAATTTTAGTATGTAGCAATGGAATTATTGATGTATCCAAACTCCACTAAAAACTACAAGTACACAATGTGAAAATTAGACTTCAAAGGTAAAGATTTGATTTTTTTCCTGTGCCTCTGAAGAGCTCATTCCTTTTCTTAAATTGCAACATAAGAATTCTTACTACCTCCTTGAAGTTTTGAAGCTGTCACTCAGTGCTGCATATATTTGAAAAACAACTCTACAATGGAAGACACATAACCTAAACCATATAAGAGATAAAAATGTGGGTTTTGCTTCAGGTGAAGGTGCTGTTATGTTTCCTGTTGCAGAGAGGAATAGCAATAGTCTGAGACTGGGATCTCAGACCTTCTGACTTGAAGGTGACTGCTGGGTGCATTCTTCATGTGCCACTAGTACAGTAGGTGATTTGTTATGAGTGAATGCTTTAGTACCCTTGAGGGACAATACAGTCTTTATCAAGGTACCTGCCAGTGGATATGATGTGTCTATTTCCTGACACAGAATATGAAAAATCCTCACGACTGACCTTTCTTCTCGTTCTGTTTGCATTTGTTAGCTGTGTTGGTGGAGCTGTGCTGTGACTTGAAATGGTGAACTGGATCAGATTAAAGATAATCTGACCAAATGTTTATTTTTTCATATGACACATTTTCCAATTTGTCTGACTTAAGTGGTGTTGCAAGTTGCTGTACTGACATATTGTAGGAGTTCTCCCACCTGGAGTGGGAACAAGCAGAACTGTTCAAGTTGTTATTGCATCTCAGCCAGGTGTATGTGTCCAGCACTGCCCTGAACTATCATTCTGCAGTTGATCAGTTTGCTTTAATTTTCACTATTCTAGATAATTTAGCAGCAATAAGCTGTGTCACCTCACTTGTCTTCTGTATTCCAGGTCATTTGTGTGTTCAGTAACAATACTGATCCTGGTGCAGGTCTCTGTGGGACTTTGTGGACTTACCTTCTTTCCTGATGGCAACTAACTGTGTATTTTTACCTTTGTTTCCTATCATGTAAGTAGTCACTAAGCCATGAAATAACCTTCTGGTTTACCCATACACATCTAGTTACTTCAGAAGCTTTAAGTTAGTGTGGCTGTTTCAAACATGGCAGGTTCTGGAGACGTTTGGCTTCTCTTTTTCCTGGACTCAATCTTTTTGTAATTAAGAGTAAGTTCAGTTGTACTTTACCAGTTTAAAGATTCTGGAAAGAGTGCCCTGGCCCTCATGATAGGATCCCTTATGTCCCTTGTGAGCAGATTTATGCTCATAGAATTTTCCGCTTCCATATCCTGGCTTGTGTCCTTCACCGCCCTGCAAAGAAAGATTTTCATGTATATTGCAAATTATCACATTAAAATTGCCATATGCACATTGTAATCTTTGTTTGTGATCACTGAAATGTAATACTCAAATGAGGAATTTGGAGGTTGTTGGAATAGAACAGTCTTTTTTGTAATATACAAGTGAAGGAACATGTTAGGAAATTATCTGAACAGACTCAAATCTGAGGGAAGCATCAATCTGTAAAAAATGAATTCATAATCAAAAAATTAATACTTGGAAGGTTAACCTGCATGATAAAACTTAAAATGTTTTAATTTCACGAGTTCTAAGATGTCAAACATATCAGCTAATTTGTGGTGTTCTGATAAGGAAAAAAAAGCTTGATGACTTGAAGACTTTGGTGTTTTGTCTTAAAATGCCAGTAATTTACATGCCATCTTGTATAAAATCAAACCTGTGGTAGAGAAGTACAATTTAATTAGTTCTGAGAACTGTGGAAAGAATTTGTCTGGTAGATGTTTAGGCAGATCACTTTTTACTGACAGGGGTTGCAAGGAAAGGTGGGAGAAAATACTTGGATTAGTGACAGGTTAGTTTTGCAGACTGTGTAAGAGCAGTTGGAACTGTGGAATAAGCACCCATCCCAGCCCTCCCTCCCATTTTTGTCCATCCCAGGAAAAGAAAAATGCAACAGATGAGTCTTCTAGGAGTCTTAAAGGAGAGCTTTGCCATGCATTGTATTTTGCTCCCTTTGTGCTAAAGCAAAAGAAATTATTGCTGCAAGAGCTGCCAAATTGCTGGATAAGAGCAAGCAACACAATTACCCTTCTTAAAGTGCTATGGAAGGAGGAAGGAAAGTGGAACGAGGAAAGCAAAATAGCAAAATTGAGACAAAACAAAATTATCACGTTGCTGCAGCAGCTTGAGCAATGGAGCAGGATATGCTTTGGCCTGGTAAATAAAATGGCTATTACTGAAAGCACATTCATCACCTACCCAGCTAAATCTGGTGAGGGATAATCCTCTTCCCTGTACATGCAAGAAATAGAAACAATGACACCATGATCACTATGGAACATAACATCTGGGTGTGCCATACACATAAGAAGATGAAAAGGCAGCAAAACTCATTAAATAATGGCCAGATAATGAGGCAGGAGTTGAAAACAAGTCTGTACAGTCAT